ATATATATATATATATATATATCCCTCACACTGTATGACATTGTGTCCTCAGAGACTGTTGCGAAGACGGGGATGATCCTGCTGGCGGGGGAGATCACCTCCAGGGCCAATGTTGACTACCAGAAGATTGTCAGGGACACAATCAAACACATAGGCTATGACAACTCCTCCAAAGGTACACCGATATCACTTAGAAGGTCTCGCTTCAAACTTCAGCATTGCTCTGTGCAATGATTCAAGTTTGTGTCAATGAATATTAAGATTTACACATGGGATTGCATTAAATCTTCCAAAGGGTTTCATCTCGGAAAGTAGTAGCAGAACTGTCAGAATATCTAGTGAGAATGATCCCGGATTGCATTATAAAAAGTAGAAAGTCAATAACCAAGAGTTCACTATCATTATGCACCATGAAGCCAGGAAAAAAAATTACATTTTAGAAGCCTTTAGGGTGTGAGTAATCTGAGTAGTGTCTGAAATAACTGTTTTATTTCCCTATATCGTCAATAAGTGAAGGTAAAACCTGTTAGGCAATTTTGTCAGGATGCGCTGGAAGCTCTGTACCTCCCAGGTGATGTCCTGTTGCCAGCTTTTAAGTTAAAGTTCATATGTGAAGGAGGCTTGGTGAGGATTGACAGGTGTAACCGGTTACTGAGGTTCAGTTGTCTTGTTCTGCAGGCTTTGACTATAAGACCTGCAATGTGCTGGTGGCTTTGGAGCAGCAGTCCCCCGACATTGCTCAGGGTGTTCACCTGGATCGAAAAGAGGAGGACGTGGGAGCCGGTGACCAGGTCGGAGCGTTCATATGTTTGTGTTTGATCCACAGCTTGGGTACCTGTAGCCAGAAATGGGGTGGTAACCAAGTTCTTGATGTTCTGTTATTTTTGACCTCTATTCATGCTGTGATTTGTGACTGCACCTGTCCCAGGGTGTGATGTTCGGATATGCCACTGATGAGACGGAGGAGTGCATGCCCCTCACTATTGTCCTGGCTCACAAGCTCAACGCCAAGATGGCTGAATTGCGCCGAAATGGAACATTGCCGTGGCTCCGACCCGATTCCAAAACTCAGGTAGGACAAGGAAACGGTACCTCCACGTCCACACAGTCCATCTGCTTTGTTTAGAAGATAAAACCCTGAATCAGAATCACCTTTTATTGGCAAAGTATGTGTGCTCACTCAAGCAATTTGACTAATATTTGATTTATATGTTTTCTTTCCAAATATACACTTTTAAAGACATCGTGCTGAGACATATTTCATTTACTGTAGACTACTGTTTTTCCCCCTCAGGTGACTATTCAGTACAGACCGGATCAAGGAGCCATGGTGCCGTTGCGTGTCCACACCATTGTGGTCTCAGTGCAGCACGATGAGGCTGTATGTTTGGATGAGATGCGCAAATGTCTGAAGGAGCAGGTGGTGAAAGCTGTGGTTCCCAGCGGCTACCTCGATGAGGAAACCGTATACCACCTGCAGCCCAGTGGACGCTTTGTCATTGGAGGACCGCAGGTGAGACAAGAACGTCTTTAAACTGTGTTTAAGTCACACCAGGATAAGTGAAATGAACCGATTTTCAGTGAACACATGTTGTCCAAGTCTTGACACCTTACGATGTTATGTTATTCACAAGACAAATATTTAAAATGCTGTCCTTAGACAGAACAAAATCATGTCAATCAAAAATATGTCTTTAAATGTGCATAAACCTCAAAGTCCCGTGTTTCTTCTCGCAGGGTGACGCTGGTCTGACTGGGCGTAAGATCATTGTCGATACTTACGGTGGCTGGGGTGCTCATGGAGGCGGAGCCTTTTCTGGGAAGGACTACACAAAAGTAGATCGCTCTGCTGCCTATGCTGCCCGCTGGGTGGCCAAATCTCTGGTGAAAGCTGGGCTCTGCAAGCGCGTGTTGGTCCAGGTGAGCGTACAATAAATCAGTGTTGAAGGAATAACTTGCCCCAAATCATTGTATTACAGTAGTTAGTAGCAGGTTTTTTTTCTTGCTAGTTTTTTAAATGTCTCTCCTGTTTCAGCTAAATTCATAATGTCCACATAATCTGTTTCAGGTATCCTATGCTATTGGAATCGCCCATCCACTCTCCATCTCCATCTTCCACTTTGGGTCCTCCCAGAGGAGCGAGAAGGAGCTGCTGGAAATTGTGAAGAAGAACTTTGACCTCCGTCCTGGAGTCATCGTGAGGTATCCTGTGCTGTCTAATTTTAGATGTTAGCCAACAAACATATAACATATGCTTCAGGTTTCTTGAAATTGTTTTTTTTTTTTTTCTGTCTCAGGGATCTTGACCTGAAGAGGCCAATCTACCAGCGCACAGCAGCTTATGGTCACTTTGGCCGTGACTTCTTTTCATGGGAGGTGCCCAAGAAGCTGAAATACTGAACCCCTCCTCCGATCCTTGAACGGGCCTCAAGTGTACTACAGATACACCTGTCTGTCTACTTCCCTCCTTTCTCCTCCCCCTCCCCCCTCTTTCTGCTCACACACACACACACACACAGCCACATCACCACAGCCTCTACTTCATAAAACAATGTCCTTTCTCCACCTCTTAGTTTTCTACACATCTTTATGAGATAACAAAAGTATTTCAGTTGCAGATATTAAGTTGAACAAGCATGTTGGATACATTGTGCGTACAGATTTGAGCAGTGCTGCCAGCTTCTATTCAACTTTGGGACACTGCTAGTTATGAGTGGATCTCTGCAGTATATATTTAAACCATATTTATAGCAAGATTACCAAAACAAGCATTAACCAGTATTGATGGTGTTTTGTAAGACATTTCTGGTATTCCTCAGCTTTCTAAATTCAGAATCTCACTGAAGTTTATTTATATAAGTGATCAGTGGTTGGAATCCTATGTCGCTTTTTCTTCAATGGCAACATGTTATTTTCCAGTTTAGCACTCCAAAACCATCAGCTGCGTTCCCCTCATACCCTTCCCCTTTGTTTTTGAAATTTTGATGGAACTAAGAGGGCCAAATTCGTCTCAATTTATACGAAACATTTCCTAATTTGTGCTGTCCCTTCAGGCCATTTTTTTTCTGACGTTTTACAGAGAAGTCAGAAGCTGCTAATGACCTTGTGGTTATGTTGGGCTGCGCGATGAAATCACTCCATTTTTGTAATTTATTTTGTAGGTTTAATGTCATGTGAATGTTCCATAAAATGTTAAATGTGTCAATCTTCTACTGACCAAGATAAAGGCACGGTGCAGTACTCGCTTCCCCCTACCTGGGACTGACTCTGGGTGTAGCTACAGAGAAACCCGGCTCAGTCGCCTCTGGACAGGGGCTGCTTTCATCACACGGCAAAATCGTATTTTAATTTGGAGAATGGCGTTTGACTGTTTGTGGGACCTAGCGGTTTGACCAGCAAGGAAGGACAACTGAGTGACGGTCGCACATGTTTAGTGTCCCGACACGTTATGAGTCACTGCACTTATTGGCAAGACCCGCCCTGTGAAGCCGGTTTAGACGGAGACGATTAGTTAAGGTCGGGCATATAGCTCGAGGATTTAGGGTCAGGATAACCAATTGGTCAGACCATAGGACCCGAACAAATCCGGTTACCAAGTACCTCGTCGAGCATGGACGCCTGGCCAATCCTACCGCTTGAACGCTGCACAGGCCGGGTCTTGCCAAGAAGAGCAGTGTGATTCATAATCGGGCCGTCCTGACGCCTTCGGTCTCACCCGCACACGACATGAACAGTGGACTGGCACGGAAGAACATGACGAGTAGAGCCAAAGACCGACCAACACAGTAACACAGTCAGCGTAGTGAATGTAACGCATCGTATTACTGCTCAGAAGAGTTAGTTTTGTACTCATGAGGACGTGGGACCATGTGAAATGATTCACAAACACAATGGAATATGTTTCTGTTATGTTTGTGGATTTTGAATCTTCCACTGGAACTGAACGGCAACGTTTGCTCTCACAGTCACCAAGAGTGGAAAAGGCCTCTATTTTGATGTTCAATGTATAGCAGTTCCAAAATGAATGTTGAGCTTGCAGCTGAAGCGTTTCTTTTTTAATTTATTCATTTACTTTTTTAGTAAAGTAGTTTTTAAAAAAACATTCTTTACATTATACCCAATGGATGGCACAAGTCTGATACTTCCTGATTAGTTCACTTAAAGCGATGCAGAGTTGTCAGGGTTGTCCCTGCCATTGTTCTTTTTAAGGCTTTTTGTCGAGAGCTTAGTGAGGAAATTCAGATGGACAAAAGATGTGTGCCAAGGACTTGAATACACAGTATATGCCTCAAATGCTTCCCCAGTTGCCCTCCTCCTTGACATGCATCCTCACAATATAGTTGCAGAGATGAGCCTTAGCCAGCGGTGAGGTATCTTAAAATCACCACGGTTGGTACTTTGTCCTCGCATAAAATGCTGAAGTTAATATTTTATGTTTTCTACTCTGATAACACTGATATCTCGTCTTGACTCTCACCTCGAGTGTACTGCAGAGAAAGCTTAGATAGGATCCGTTGGAGTGGCGCTGAGAGCATTTCAAGTCTGAGTGGTCATCAATATGTTTGCATCCTCTAGCTCATCCACAGAAGAGACAAATGATCGGTTGGTGTTGTACAGAGAAACCAGCCTGTTTACATGGTCTCCTGTGGGGGGGGGTGTCGAGCTGCATTTTTTTTGTTGAATCATTTTTTAAATGATCAGAAGTAAGTCTGTTAGTGTGGCTGCTGAATGTGAAAAAGTGCCTTTTCTCATTTTCTGCAACGCCCTTATCCCCTACCTCAAATACCTAACTCCTTACCTGCTGACTTCTCCCCCGGTGTCTACCCTGAGGTTACTCTTCAATAACACTTACTGAGGAGTCTGATTTGTTGTTTCTCTCTGAAACCCTTTAAAAATAAACTGCACTCTTCTTTGTGGTCATTGGCTTTTGGCTGTTTATTTTGTATCATAAAGCAGATTCGAGTGATTTCATGTCTCGGTGTACATTGAAAAATTATCATTTGTATATGAAGGTTCTGGCCAACAACAAATAACAATGTTGTGTATATGGAAACCAAAATGGTAAAACAAGATGGCAGAAGTAGGTATCAATGCGATTAAGCTCTAAAGATGATCACATCCTCGGGTAGAATATAAATTGACACAAAACCTTGAGTAGTTTCTATTCTAGTTTTTATACTTGTGTTGAGTAACAGCAGTGACTACTCTCTACACACCTTTACGCTCAATAATTCACGCTTACTTCTTTACGTTAAAACTGCAAATACTAAAGTTCAGGTTCAGAACCCTTACCATGGAAGTTGGACTTTTACTAAAACCAGGTTTGGGATTAAGACCACCAAAAACAGTTGCCTTCAAAAATACAGAGTGCTGATATGAAACTGTATTAGAATGCCAGTTTATGACGAGTTCATATAGAGAAGATAAATACGAATTTTTTTAAATGCTCCTTTATTGGCAGAATAGAAGACCCATCCAGTGATGTTTACTTAATTCAGTCAGATAATCTGACTAAATGTAGGGGATGAAGCCCTGAAACATTTTATATAGTGGTTAGTATAAAAGAGTAAAAAAGTTTTAAATAGAAAATTCTCAAGTATACGGAATATTTGTGAAATGTCTTTCTTTTATACAAATAATTCAACTTTCTGATCCGACAGCTGAGCTTTCATATCTGATCCACATTCCTTTTACTACAGAAGTTATCTTTGTCCCTTGTCGTGATGTTTTGTAAAGCTACGTCCTGGTGTTCTTCACTCAAAGCAGACAGTAAATACGGAGCAAAATCCAAAAATGCAGTAAGATATCAAATCAGTGTCAGAAAGAAATGCTATGAGACAGAATGTCACATTTGTCAAGCAGTACGAGTAATATTTGCAGTTTGATGTTGAAAGATCTGGGTCGTCCAAGGGCACACTGAGTTTGACTCGTATTTTTTAGGCCCACCCTGAAATAGAAACATTTGGAGACATTTTACGTGAGGTTGTGTGTTCTAGTTTTAAGATACGTTCTCACAAAAATGACATAAAATTCTACCTACCGTAACATTTTAAAGTGTGTCGAGAGGCTTCCAGGCAAATTTCTGACAGTAATACAGAGTCTGCGTAAAGAAGACAAATAGGATCACTACTTAGCATTCAGAAGATAACCAAGTTCACTGCTTGATAGTCTTTTACTTACTCCACATTTGAGGGCAGTAGTCATGTCTCTGCACCTGTAGGTTGCCAAAGTGCATGGGTCTGAGAGTGCCAAAAACAAAAAACAGGGTCATTAGAATGTTAATAGATTTGTTGAAAGACAGCAGATCACTTCTTTTTTGAGAACTGATGAATCGTCCTTTATCAAGTAAACATTTGCTGCTTCCAGTTTCTAAAAAATGCGACCAAATGTGTTCTGTTTTATATAATTGTAAATTGAAAAGGGCTTTCTCACTGTGGCCATTTTAAATAATCAAACGTGTCACACTAATGATGCATTCAATGTAGGCGTACTAGTTCGGGAGCCTTAGGGTCTGTCCTGCTTGCTCACTGGCACGGTTTACTAAAAAACGATGGACAAACTGGAGGATGGATGAAGTAAGTTATTTGCAGATGAAGCTCTGCACACAACACGGAAGGAGAGGCAGACTGACCTACAAGAGGAGCCTCCTGCCCCTTACACAGCTGGATGAGAGTGCAGATGGCCTGAGGGGTGGCGTAGCTCAGGATCGCATCCAGCACCGTCTTGGTGAACCTGCCAATCACGTCCTTGCACTCATCTTGGTAGGCGGAGGGCAAAGTATGACAAATCTCCTCCAGCAGCTTGATCAAGGCATCCTGCAACAAGTGACAGAGAGGAAGTTGCATTGTGTCAGCCAAAAGTTATCAGTGCCATCTGGAGGCATTTAGGTGTCTACGTACATGTGTGTTGGTGGTTGTGCACGTGTGTTCTTTCATTGCGTGAGCGTAACTCACCTCGGTCCTTTCTTTAGGGAGCAAGTCCTCCAAAGTCTTGATCAGGAAAACACAGAAGGTGCATTGTGTTGTGGACTGCAGCTGATTGATTCAAACAGCAGAAGGAGTAAAGCACAACACAAACACACACACACACATATAAACACGTATTATCTTCAAATGTGTTCCTCGAACTTGTACTTTACTGACATTTTCACTTTTCGCAGCAACCTGAAGGGCCTCCTTGACGAAATAGCTGAGCATCTTCTCCTGCTTCTCACAGGAGCCACAGAGTCCAATGACTTTGCAGACCTCTGCTGGTTTCTGCAGCGAAAGAGATGTGTTGAGGATAGACATCTCATCAGGAACACACCGACAGCAAAGACTACAGGATGCACTGATACTTTATCAACCTCAACTAAGACGATCAATTCAGCATGCAACTTACTACGATACCAGCAATGAAGTTGATGGCCATTGGGAGCATCTTCTCCACCTCGTCTTTGCAGAGTTTAGCAGTACTAGCTGGTCCCGGCAGGTGGTCACACAGATGTTCAATGCCATCCATCATCTTTCTCTGAAAAGAAGCGCTGAATTATGTGCTGTGTGTTCTTTAAACCTCAGGACAAAGCTATATTATATTAATATTATTGATATAAATCTAAACAGGATTTTTGACAGGAGACAGCATTCCCTTTTTCAACCTCTATTAAAGGCTTGAGTGAACAGTTTAAGAGCTATTATTGATAACATACTACATTTGTAGTTAAGTAACTCATTTCCTGCCAAGATTTCATGAATTGTCTTATATGTTGTTCAATGACTCGGTTTCCCTTTCTTAAATCCCATGGTCTGGACTGGAGATTTACAGCCCTCACTAAAGTTGCAAAACATTAAACAGACAATAAGATAGTGGGTGTACCTTGTCACTTGCATTACATCTTTGAGCAATAGGTGCAATGCAAACCCAGTTGCATTATGACTGGTCAAAATGACCCTTTAAAGGAAGAGTTTTAGCTTCCACCTTTGAGGCAAAAATGTACACAAGCTGCCTAAACCAACAGGCATAGATAGATTATTTCAGACTCAGGGTCCATAGAGACAAATACATTAAAAAAAAAAAACCAGACACAAACAATAAAAGTACGGAGGCCTAGCAATACCTTACATGCATACAATATATATTAATGAATACTAATGAAAACTATCTTTTTGAGTTGAACATCATCAGAGTCACAAAGCTGCCGAGGTAACTGAAAATATAAGCTGTCAACAACAGCGTTCACTTTAAGAACAAATGAAAGTCCTTGTCACGCGGTGTCTGGTGCTTATTTATAGCGGATTACTTCAGCATAACAGCAGCTAACTAGCTGGCTACATTGGAGCATTTGTGACACAAGAAACAAAACAAAAGAACCTTTGTGGAAGGACATTTTAAAACCTTGCTTGGATGGAAATAGAATAAAAAAACTTCACAATTAGTTGAGTTTAAATTATCTATTTCACCATTTATTGGTTCCTTTATGTATTTCTCCATAAGATTAAATTCCACAGCGTCTTAGTTATGTCTTTAACACTATTTATGTTATTCTATTTTGTAGTACCATGAACCCCTAGTGGTATCTAAGCATGCACATGTGGAAGTTTAAGCTTAATGTAATTAGTTTTGTGGTGCTCATAGCAAAATTACATTATATAAACCACATCTCTCTGTAACTTCTTGTTTACTTCTTGAAAATCATAGAAATGAACCAATTTAAGTTTTCTCTCTTTGGACTCAGATGGGACCCGATGAAGTTCAGAAGAAAGAGGATCTTTGAGATCAGGCGAGAAACTTTCATTTCAACATTTGATTTCAACTTTTTGTTCGACAGAAAATAGGAAGTGGCTTTGTACCAAAAAGAAAAGGGGACCTTAACTTTGTTGTGCATGCTTGAATGCACTGAATGTGAAGAACAGGCCTCAGCTAATAAAAGAACAGGTGGAATTGAAGGTGTTTTTTATTTAATGAAAACTATTCAGCCACAGAGCTTAGCACAGTGTGCATTTTAATCTTGACTTGTGCATATAGACATAAACAGAATCAATAATACTGTCAGTGAGCTAATATTAGTCCTCTGGGATGTCTTTGCTTGGTCCACTATTGTACTCACCTGGAGGTCTGCATTGGAAAACATGTCAGCAAGGAGTTCAAATATTTGGGTGCAGTCCTGGCAGACGTCCCCGGTCTGGTTATAAAGTAGAAGTCACATAATGGAAAATTAATCTTTAAACTTTAAACCAATTTAATCACTTACGCACCGTGGGGGCCTCATTCTTGGCATGCATGAGATGTGTTGTGTTTCATGAGGAAGTAGACATGTGAAAGTTGTTTTTCAGTTTTAAATATTCTACGAGTGGAACTGTGCAAAATTGAAGACACTTCTTGATTTTGAAGAAATGCAAATCTCAGTTGTCACTGTGACGGTTGAACTCCCATACTGTATCTATCTTTAAACTAGCTCAACCTATGACGTGTTTACGTATATGTAATCATAACATGTACTTTTATACTTGCATATACTTTTACTTTGATACTTTAAATACATTTTGATGATAATACACACTTTTAGCACTCAATATACAAAATACTTTCATAAACCTTTTCTAAGAATTAATGGAAGATTCCTGAATTTCTTGTAATTAAATGTATTTTTTTACTTGAAGTTATATTTGTTGTTTGGTGAGTCGTGTCTCAGTGCGTTCTTATCGGTAAGATAAGGTGTGTACACATTATACTTTGTGTCGTTTGTTCATGTTTTGAATGCAAAATATAACAAGAAATCAAAATAGTAAACTTACTGCTTTCAGGGCATCTGGAACATTTTGCAAACCATCGATGTTGAAAGCCGAAGTCAGAGCTGCAGAGGGAAATATTCATCAATAATAATCTTCATTGTAATGTCTCATCACTTGACTTTTTACTATTCACTTCATAATTCATCATCCTAGTACAATTAATTATAGTCTCACCACAGGCTTCAAGACAAACGAAGAGAAGCAAAGCGATCTTGAGCGAGGCCATCATGTGTTATCTTCAGGCTTCTAGTTGAATGTCCTCCCTCCTGAGCTCTGCACAGCGTGTACTGAAGCTTATATTTGACAGGGTCCACCACCAAGATAGGATTTGTTTTCAGCACAGAGGAACTGCTCTTGTTCTCAATATCTAATATTAGTCAAGTTTCATATTCAGTTCCTCACACCAAGGTCGGCCTGCTGGTCGTTCCGCCACAGGGGTGTGGACTGAAAAATCTCAACAACTATTTCATCTATTGCCATGACATGCTGAATGTCAGCATGTTAACATGTTAACATATTTACTATGCCAAATGTAGGCATGTTAACATGATAAATGTAGCATATTAGCATTCAGCCTCAACGTGCATAGATTATTATCATTATTATTATTATAGATTAGTGCAGTAAATAGATTATTTGACAATTATATACATCATCTCGTGAGGCAAAAGCCTAGAAGACGTTCAAATCAGGGAGTAAAAAGTATATTAAATACCTACAATTGGACATGACATGTTATGATGTTGTCAGGGTAGCATGATATGTTGCAGCAAAGTGCTGTCCCATTGGTATTTACACCGTTTCAGGCCTGTGAACGTTTTTTAGGTTTTACAGGGCTGCTTCTCTGCTGTCACCCTCAGGCTATAGCGTTTGCTGTCCACATGGTGAGGTTCTCATAATGACAAAGCCATCTCACTTTTTTTCTTGTGTGTACTGAGTGGTATAGCCTCAAATGGTCGCAGCCTGAATTACCTCAAGTGCCCTGGATTATTAACTGCGTACGTTTTGGTGCCTAATTACCTTTTATCTTGGTTTGGTATGAGCCCAGACCGGCTGGCTCTGCACCAGCATCTTGGTGGTGGTGGTGGTGTGCATCAGAGGGCCGCCCGGAATATGTCACTTGGCTTATCTTTATGACCAGTACTTTATGGTAGTACTTTGTGTCATTCCAGTAATCCATATCTCTGCAGCAGCTGTCAGAGAATTGTGCCAATCTTAAATTGTATACTATAGCAGGGGTCACCAATTGGCCAGTGTGTCTCATATGTTCAGAGATCGTGACGATTATTAAAAGCAGTAAATGAAGCGACACTACGAGACAAAGCACAACTCTTTTGAGCAAAAGTTCCCACTCACATCTGAATGAAGACACAGAAAATAAACCCAAGAGCCCAATATGATCAGAATCATAACACATGAATTCACTGCCCAACAATGATGTAAACAGAGAGAATAGAGCTGAAACAAGTGTTAATAGTGTTGACATCACTTCACACCTGAATGAACTGGATTTAAAGCTGCAGGACAATTCAGTGAAATTAATTTGTCTGAAATGAAGTACTTTATTTTAAGATGCACATTTTTCAAAATCTTTCTGTTATATCAGTTATTGTGTAATCCAGCTCTTATTTTACTTGAAATGAGAAGAACATTTATTTATGTATTTCTATGTATTATTTATAATCCATCCAGTTCAATTTGAAAAGTGAGAATAATAATTGTTAAAATATAATTGATGTGTACTTTCTTTATTTGATTTGACAGTTGTTGACTACACAGAGACGTTGTTACTACTTCAAGAGGCTTCTTGAATATATATATATCACTAAATAGCGCAAGTTAGATATTATTGTAATGTTCCGGACCTTTGCCCGAGGACATTTTCTCAATCTGGAATTTAAACTTTTGGAATTTAAATGGAATACCCCTGCTATATAGTAACATAAAGCGACTCGAGGTGACTATGTTGGCTATTTGTGCACTTTAACAACGTAGAATTCTACTTCCTGTTGAGCGTAGTTAGGTAAGGTATAACACACTTTAAGACGAAGCACAAACAAGAGGTGCTGAAAGAGACTGACAGTATCGCATTGTTCATGTACCGCGGACTGTTTCAAAGTATTTGCCGTCACAATGTTTGTTGTTAATTCCAGCATTGACAGCATTGCAACATGTTCCATTTGTAGTTTCTTCCTTCTGACTTTCAAAGGACTGACTTTGTTCGTGTCAGCTTTGCTTATGAAATCTTTTTGATGCTCTGCACATTTATGCTTCCTGCATGCTCCGAATTTGTGACAGAATCTGCAAGTTTAAGAAGAGCTCCAGGTGAATTATAAGCTTTTTCTTTGCTAAGTGTGTTTTACCTGCAACATGGAGATGCTGGAGCCTTTTTGTCCGCGCTGTTTTCGACTGTTAACGATCCCCACGAAATATAAACCAAACTTTACCTTTACAGTCTCACTCTGTAAATGTCTCAGTACAAACATCTCTTTTATGTGTAATAATACTATTTGTACTTTATTGTTTATCGTTTATTGTTGGAACAGTCCAGTTTATGCACAGGGATCCTCTGTACACAAAAATTAAAGCTATATTGAGACTACAGGAAATATTTTGATTTTATCTCTAACTCCGAACTTGACATTTCAGCAGATTTTGATTCCTTAAATGCTGACCAATTGCTCATTGCTCAAAATACAATCCTATTACCTTTGACTAGCTCTGCTGGCCATTTTTCCAAACTTTTCATTCAGATCAAAAAGGGAAAAGGAAAAGAAAACGAAATAACTTCAGATCCTTGCTCGGCTTAGTCACTTGGATAAATGTAAGGACCGCAAGGAAATATCTGTATTTGTGTGTAACAACAACAATCATGACCAGAACCTAAATATCAGTTCATTTATTAAAAAAAAAAAATAGAATGTAATTAAGCATTTTAGAGTGTAAATTCAATTCAATTAATTTTGTATAGCTCAAAATCACAAATTACAAATTTGCCTCAGAGGGCTTTACAATCTGTAACATCCTCTGTCCCGGGATCCTCACATCGGTACAGGAAAAACTCCCCCAAAAGGATGGACGGAAGTGTGATAGATGTCATGTGTAGAGAATGAACAACATGACAGAGTTACACCACATTCAATGCACAGAAATGATTCATATAATGAGAGCAGAATAATGATGGAAGAATTATGAGTACTAACAAATGTTCTCGTCTCTGTAATAGGATGTAATAGTCAATGGTGTCGAACGCAGCATTACGGTCTAAAAGCTAAACATGTCAACATGTGAATGCAGAAATGGATGAATGAAGGGAGGACAAACGGATAGGCTGTCCATACAGCATGTCTCCAATTAAGCTTATTGCTCTCTGAACTGAATTGGTCTTTGTGTGAAAAAAGGAAATATACATGAAAAAAACAATTTGACCTTATAAGACATATCACAGTTGTATTTACACTCAAAATGCTTAAAATGCATTGACGTCTGTTTATTTAATGCATGAAAAGCCTAAATATTTGTTAATGCTTCGGTAAAGATGATAAGAAAAGAGTTCCCTGGTTTAAGAACAAATACCAGAACAGTTCTCGGCTGTGCGTGCAAGCTCAATCATTTTGGCTCTCAGTGGTGGTGAGTGGAACTCAGACAGGAAGTCTCTTAAATGAGAAAGCTGCATTTTTCTTTGCTCTTTTACTGCCAACTTTGTCTTTTGTCCATGGATGTTTGTAAAGAACTGAGATTGTTTCGTACTATTTCATATTCATTTGCTTTGTGCAAATTGTGTCTATGTTCATGAGGTTCAGGTTTGCACAGGGATAGACACATAATCTCCTGCAGTTCTTTTCTAGCTTTTCATATGCATGGGGTTTAATGAAAGTGATCGGAATCAAGAACAAAAACGATAAGATTTCCTGCATGTTGGAAACCCCTTTTTGCGTAATCAGTCTGGTGGAAGACACCTTGAACGCATAATCTCTGGTGCAAAGTACACTGCTTCCTTATTATGTTCATTGTTCAATTTCTAAACCAAGCAATTGTTATTGGGACCGTCATACATGACTCATGCATTGTTCAGAACAGCTCTACTTCCTGGACCATGGGTAATTACTCGTAAAACTAACAGGATGCGAGGAATTGTTAAAGCTCCAGCTCACGAAATGTTCATCTGCAAAACCTGGCGTTTTTCAATTTGAATGTATTATTGGTTATGACATTCTTGTCCTTTTGATTGTACAGAATTGTTTGATGGTAAAAGCCGAATTTGCCAGCACTCTCTTGTCAAATACACAGAAACAGCAGTCTAACCAATCCACTGGAGAAATAGGATTTCTTGCTGAACTCTGAGTTTGACTAACAACATTTCAGCCATTGCTGTTGGTTTCTGTTTTTTATGACATCCATCAAAGAGGGAACTGGAGACGATTAGTGCAACTATCCTGTGGATGTTGCAAACACAATTATGTGCTGACAGAAAAGTGACCCTGCACTTTGTTAACAAGCAAGCAAACTGAACTCTCATTGAAATTGATGAGAATTAAAATAGTCTTTCTTCTGCACAAATACGTGTTGTTCATCCTACATTTCCTTTACATATTAAACTAAAGTACTTTCAATCACTTGTAGTCACTGATGCTCTAGCATGATGTGCAAGATTATTATTCTTTATGTCTGTACAACCTCTTCCTCAACTTTTCAACAATGTCTACTGTAAACTGCAAATACATCCATAAGAGTTAGAATTTGTTTAAAGAAAAAAAGAAGGGGGTAGTGTGCACATCCAGTCCCACAGCCGGGTAAAGCAGATGAGGTCGTCCACTGTGTGAAATCTGTTACGTATGCCTCACAAAGACCTTGTATGTCAAAGCTTTGCATCAATACAATTTTTGGAAGTGTGCAAATTTACATTTTTTTCTTTTGACTTTAATCATTTCAGCACCTGACTTGGTTGAAATGAAGGCCACGGATCAGTGGGATGACGGCTCAATTTGCAGGTTGTTGAGGATTCAAATCACTCGACTCCTGATTCAAAACATATAGTATGAATAAATAAATCCGAAATCTAACAACATCCTGTATAGTCTCAGCTGTGTGTGTTTGTCTACAGCTGAAATCTTTAATTAATTAAATACGTGATGCTGTTTTTTCATAGATAATTAGACTTTTTAAGGTCGTCTGGTGTGTTTTGGACTGAAATAGTACATTATGTAATACTCTCCAAAACCTGTTATTGATGTTGTTAATGACCATCAGTTATTTAATGTAAGTCAGGCTTGTCACGGCTTCTTCTTTGTTTTGTTATCGGTGACAATTGTGCGTGACAACTACAAAAATGCTTTTGTATCTCCAGCAGCCACAGGGCTCTCCACCCAAACACACACATGCAAAATACATAGTTAAATACATAGTTGACTTTTAATCTGTCTTTCTTTTTCCTCATTGCTCAGCCATGGCTGACGTATGCAACCTATTACTTATTTACCTGTCATGCTCTGTGGCTGACAGCTTAATTTGATACTGCTGCACTTGTGGGAATTCCAAACCTGAACCTGAGGTGAAGGGATTTTTTGTTCCATTCAGAGGCTAAAGATAGATCAACTCTTATTTTGAATGTGCATTAGTTAGGAGGAACAAGAGTGCATTCCTTCCCCTTTTCAAATCGTTTCTCAAGTCCATCAGTTTCTGTGTGGTAACATGGAAGGCCAACAGCCACAGCATGGCGACATCAGTAAACAAGTGACACAAAGAAAACTGTCCAAATGCTGCAAATCTATTTACTGTTTTCCATCAATAAAGGAAGGAAAAAAAGTTATTACAGAAGAATGGGCTAAAAACTATATTTGTCCAGTGAGAAAAGACTCGGTCCAGTTATGTCAAAGTACAGTGTGTATGATTCCTTCAAGGAAGAAGAATGTCAAAAAGTAAACATACTTCTAAAATGCATCTGAAATGCTCCTTAAACACATCAACATTAAAATAATAATAATGAACAAGAAACATTTATTCAAATAGCTTTATACTAAAATTCTTAAAAGCCAACAAATGCTGATAATGCCATTTTACTATTATGACTTACTGTTACCACTATCACTACCGCCACTGTTACTGGTAATTATAGTTTCTTTTTCAAATGTGACACCCAATAATAACTGATAAGAGTGAAGGATTTCCTGAACAGACAGAGGAGGAAGAAGGAACTGCTCCTTACTGACAGGAGCCTCACCTACACAACCCTATTCAGGCCTCGCCCCTCGATCAGAATATAAAGACGATGGCAACGCCGCTAACTCCACATCTCCAGGAGCATCTGAAAGCTTCACAGACGCAGGTAATGAGATCAGCTTTTTGCTCTGGGTGCTTCGATATTTTCGATGTTACATGGTGCTGAAGAAATAATTTCCGTGCATGCCTGTTGACAAGTACAATGAATTAAGTTTTGTATTGACTTTTATTTATTTGTTTTAGACATGCTTTTCTCTGTACTTCTTGTGCTGGGCATCGGCCTGATTCCCGCCCATTCCAAACCTGCAGGTAGGCGACATCCCTTAGTTTGTAAACACGTTTCTGATCTCCACCTAAATTTGTCTGTGTTACATACTGGTCACGTTTTAAGTCCTTTTGTCCCAATTGATGAACTGTTTGACGAGCGTGTTGTTTCTTTGCAGCGGAATATCTCGGCAGCCCTCTCCTTCAACAGTGTTTTGAGGACGCAAAGAAAATCGTCGATGCCGCGTACAAGTACTCCAGAGAAGAGTGAGTTCCTTTTATGTATTATTTCATCACCACAGTAAAATAGTAGATTATCTTTTATATTAATACAGAAGAAATCTACACTAAAAAGCTCAGTAATTGCTAGAAAAAAAGTACAGGAGCTCTAAAACAATCCCACAGTTAGTACTTCATTTTTTGACTGTGTGACTTTTTTCATCTAGGAGTCTGAGACGAGTCCGCAGGGAGATAGTGCGTCCTCACGATGCTCTTCGTCTCCTCAAGCAACCCCGTGGTGACACGCGCACAGCTGTGAGATCCGCAGATTACATGGCACAAACCCTCCGTCTGCTGCATGAGAGGGTGAATCACGTACACAAGCGCTCACTCAATGCAACAGGTAAGACAGGTCAAACAAAATGCTCACATTGTTTTTTTTGTAATGTGACATACACACATCAACACATCGACACATCGTTGAAATGCCTTTCATATTTTTCAGATTTGCTCACCACGGAGGACCTGAAAAGACTTGGTGAAATAACTGGATGTTCACCTCGAGTCAGCCTTCCATCATGCCGCACCACGCCAAACCTTAACAAGTATCGCACGGCCAGCAGCGTCTGCAACAACTTGTAAGAGAAAACAATCAAGTGACATAACATGCTGTTTCAAAAACTCACTTTTTTAATTCATGTAGCAGTTTATTTTCTGTATTTTGACTTCTGTAACATTCCCAGATGTCTTCATTATCAACTTTCTTTCACTATTTTCCTACATACACGTTGGTAAAAAGCACTTTGTTCCAAGTAGAAATGTGATGAATTAATGAAAACTTGTCGGGTTTGTGAGATTGAGTGTTGCTAACATTCAGAGGAAATTCTTTTGAAATACACCTGAACATCTTGGGCGGTACACCGCAGAAGATGTGCTCACCTCCCTGGTATTTCTCAAGCAGTATTTCCAAACATGTCCCCTGTTTTTGCTTTTAGAATTGAAACTCGCCGCGGTTCCTCAAACACCCCCTTCAACCGCTGGCTACCTGCCGAATATGAAGACGGCGTCTCTGTACCAAAAGGCTGGACCAGAGACCGAAGAATCAACAACTTCTTGCTCCCACTGGTACAGCCTTAAAATCTTAGTAACACGCTTTGACTAACACACGTAAATGCTGATTTAAAATGAAAACATAACTATTCTACTCCACTTTCAGGTGCGACAGGTGTCCAACAACATCCTACGCACAACAGACGCAGGCGTGGTCAACGACACAGAGTACAGTCACATGGTGACCATCTTTGGTCAGTGGACCGACCACGATCTGACCTTCACGCCCTTCTCCCCCAGCATCCGCTCCTTCAGCAACGGGCTCAACTGTGATGAGAGCTGTGAGAAATCTGAGCCATGCATCCCCATCGCGGTTCGTGCGAAAACTCAAACCCAAACACAGAGATGTTGTATTCACTAAAAGATTCCCTCCATAAACATTTGTCTTTTTCCTACGAACAGATTCCTCCCGGCGACCCCCGCTTGCCCACTGGCCCAGAGAGCTGCATCCCTGCATTCAGATCCGCCCCTGTTTGCGGGACGGGAAACTCTGCCTACAATTTTGGTGGAGAACCCAACAAGAGAGAGCAGATCAACACCCTGACAGCCTTCCTGGATGTCGGCCAAGTGTACGGCTCTGATGAGAAGATCGCCCTGTCTCTTCGCGACCTCGAAAGTGACGGCGGCCTGCTGCGCGTGAATGCAAAGTTCAGAGACAACAGGCGCGATCTGCTGCCCTTCGTGAAACTCGAGGCGAACATGTGTGCCACTCGCAAACGTGTCACCAACAACACAAACGCCGAAGAGGTGCCCTGTTTCCTTGCAGGTTAGTCATCTTGCAAGTTCACTATAACGAACAGCTTTATGAATGGTTAATTCATCATCTATTCAATCTTAAAAGATCAGTAATAAGCTCTAAGGGTAGTAATAAGAATTTGGGGTTGCTATGTTGTGAAAAACTGATGTATATCCTGCTCTCGCCTCTAACCTGTTGTCTTCCTAAACATTATCTACAACTCATAAACTCCTAATAGAAAGAGGTGCCAACGACATGAATCAGAAGAGGAAGTGAACACTATATGATGTGTACATTTCTGTCTGTAAGGTGATGTCCGCGTGGACGAGAACATCGCTCTGACGTCCATTCACACACTGTTTATGCGCGAGCATAACCGCCTGGCCCGTGCACTGAAGACACTAAACCCACAGTGGGACAGTGAGACACTCTACCAAGAGGCCCGCAAGATCATGGGTGCTTACTCACAGGTAGGTAAACCAGTCAGTCAGAATTCATGATTCTATTGTTATATCTCAACAGCATGTGTCATACACTCCGCTGTCTTTTACTCAAAATAGATCTCTGTCTCTCTCAGGTGTTTGTGTTCAGGGACTATCTGCCTCACATTGTGGGTGTCGACGCAATGCGTAGACAGCTCGGCCGTTATCCCGGCTACAATCCTAACGTGGACCCCACCATCTCCAACGTCTTTGCAACAGCCGCTTACCGCTTCGCCCACTTGGCCATCCAGCCATTCTTAGGCCGCCTGGATCAAAGTTACAGGGAGAACCCTCAGTTCCCCAGTGTCCCCTTGTTCAAGGCCTTCTTCACGCCCTGGAGGGTCGTCTTTGAGGGTGAGTTGTACAAAGAGAAGGGCAGCAACTTATCAATCACGCTTTCTCAAACTGTCACCCTAACTTTTATTCTATCTCTCCAGGTGGCATTGACCCTCTGCTCCGTGGTTTGATCGGCCGTCCCGCTAAACTAAACACTCAGGATCACATGCTGGTGGACGCTCTGAGGGAGAGGTTGTTCCAGTTTGTGATGCATCTGGCTTTGGACTTGGGCTCTCTGAACATGGAGAGGGGCCGTGACCACGGCTTGCCTGGTACAGCCTTTTGTAATGATTCTTCTCTTTCTTAATTGTCCTCATCCTCTCCTTACTGACTTGTTCGTTGTTCCTCAAGGCTACAACACCTGGCGCAGGTTCTGTGGCCTGTCTCAGCCCAGGAATCAGGCGGAGCTCGCTCGGGTCTTGAACAACAGCGACCTGGCTTCCAGGCTGCTGCAGCTCTACGGTACAGCCGACAACATTGACATCTGGATGGGAGGCGTGGCAGAGCCGTTCGTCCGTGGGGGCCGCGTGGGGCCTCTGTTCGCCTGCCTCATCGCGTCACAGTTCCAGAAGATCCGCCAGGGTGACAGGTCAGTATGTGTGTGGATGCATAAAGTGATGCTAACACAAAAAACAAACGCTCTCTCTAGTCTCTGTTGACACTAATCTCTTGTTGGAAAAATCAGACTGTGGTACGAGAACAGGGGCGTCTTCACCGCGGCGCAGAGAACTGCTCTGTCCAGGACCTCCTTATCCAGGATCATCTGTGACAACACCGGTATCACGTCTGTCCCCACTGACGCCTTCAGCGTCCTCACTAACAGGAACCGGCTCGTCCGCTGCTCCAACCTCCAACGCCTGAACCTCTCAGCCTGGAGGGAGAGAACATGCACAGGTAAAACAGCGCGGCGCCTAACTTTTTGACCATGAGGGAAGACTTTCATTCGTCACCTACTGTATTCTTCATTTTGTTTTTAACCTGGTGTTTATTTCTTCTCTATCACTTGTATGGAAATGGTTCTTTATATGTGGTGTTTGATCCTGCAGGCCCGGGTGATAGCTGTAATGAAGTCAGTGGAAAAGAGGTCGGTTTAAGTACTAACACGCGGTAGCTAAATTTGAAAAGCACAATGAAGTTAGAAGAAAAGTTCACATTCAGACCATGACACTTAACATTTTGTCATCTTGGTGAGGTGTTCTTCACTCCACTCAGGGTTTACTGATACTAACACATTTTGAACAAATCTAGAGGCTAAATGATGAGGCTGAAAAAGTTTAACTTCCATATCTTGATATACAGACTGTAAACCAGACCAATCAGACGGACCAGCAGGACACCGAGGGCCCCGAGGGCCTCGAGGGCCTCGAGGACAATGAGGTAATCTATTCAGTTATCGTCTGTTTAGCCTTTTGTAAGTTGTAGATAGTGCTGGAAAAACGAAACGTAGAACATCATTAAGACACATTTACCCCACATATAAAACAACCAAGCTCAGCCTTGGCATCTTCAGTAAATCTACAGTACGCTCATCTTTTATCCTTCACCAATTTTTTTAACTTTAACTTACACTGTAACATCAGGTCTTTTATATTTGTTATCATGAGCCAGGTGTCATTATTGTCCACTTTTAAAAAAACAACAACATTGTTTTCATGATGATTTTATGAAAGAGATTTCTTTAACTGAACAATGCAACATGTTTTAGAACATTATCATATATGTTGTATAAAAACGATATTCAGAATAACTAGTAATTATGTAGTGGCGTTAAAAAGTACAACATTTCCATCTAAAATGTCGTGAAGTAGAAGTATAAACTATACTCAAGTATCTCATGTGTGTGCTTGAATAAGTTACTTCCCTCCACTGAATAATTCATAATGTAGAACCAGATCAAAAATCTCTGTTTATGTATTTTAAGATCTATATTTGTGTTCCTCTGCAGGTCTGATAGGAACCCCAGGCCCTCCTGGACAGCTAATACACCACTCTAATGCTACGCAGCCACTATATGCCTTCTACAACCCATCCTCAGAGAAAATCATTCAGTTCCGTCAAGTCATCTACAACAAACAGCAGCTTTACAGCATCCAGACAGGCCTGTTTACATGCGCCGTCCCCGGTGTCTATCAGTTCAGCTTCCTCATCATATCCATTGTCAGCGTGGGAGATGTGGACCTGAAGTGCAATGACAAGCTAGTGCTGCGCGGTTTCAAGGTTTATCAGGGAGGTAACCACTTGTCATCAGGTGACACGGTGCTCAAGCTGGAGGCGGGAGACAAAGTCTGGGTGGAGGCCAGCAACGGGACCACCGGCCTGAGCACCAAAAGCTACTTCTCGGGACACGTGCTCTTTTCTGGGTGACACAAGCGCTCTCCAGACCGAACCACTACCCTTTAATGGTTCTGCTTTAGGGTCTGATTGCATTTCTCAGCCTCCCTGCTCTGATCTTCAATTTCCATTAATCATATCAAATATCTATTATTAGTAATTCCCTTGGTTTGGGGGCACATGCAACTGTACGTGTTTTATATTTGTCTGAAAAATGAACAAATATTCGATGGTTTTAACAAGCTGCGTAATGAACATGGAATTTGTGTCAGAAATTCTGTTTAACTCTGTTACAGCATTCAATCTATTGCACCAAAATGTAGCCAGTATTGGCACCGATGAAAGTTGGAACTGATGAAATTTAAGCATGCAGTGAAATATGTACTGTGCTTCTCTGTGTGGCTTTTTTTACTTTTAAATGTATCTGTTGTATTTTCAGTTCTATGAATAAAACGAAAGAAACTGAGCCGCATCAAATCTGTGTTCATGTGTTCATATTTCTCAGACTTCAGGAAGTCTTTCATGGAAATATTTCAAAATATAGGAATTGCATGTGTGTCAAATGAAAAACTTCTGCGGAGATGGTGATAGAAAAAAAGATCAAGCTGGGATACTTTGCATCCCAGAATATATTTAAACTTAACAAAACAGCTCAGTTCGTTTATAATATTATTATTGACTTTTAGTTACCTAAATGGAGCAACGGAGGCCGAAGTGCAAGAGTGTCTCCTGTAGATGGAGCCGTCGTTCTTTTTTTAAACAGAATAACTGTGATTGATGTTGTGGCATAACTGCTTCATTCTGACAACAAGGCCTTGAAAGCACTGCATCTGAAAATATATTTCCATCAAAGTCGCAGTTGTCCTATTTTCATCTCTTCAGTTAATTATTTAGCAATCGTCCTCCAGTTAAACACTTCCCGAAGTGAGTCAAGAGACGATTGGTCAGAAATATACAAGTGTTCCCTCAGTCTATTTCTGTTGCTGCATGAGAAACTGACTTACTTCATCGTCAAAATGTCACATTTTATTCACAAGATGTGGGGAAAAGACATTAATGCCTTTGTTGATTGTCTTCACCATTTATACTATGTGGGTCACTAGAGGCCAGAACACACCCACCGTGAGCTGGATACGGGCAAGGTAGACAAACTAACACACTAACATTTACACCTGCGGTTAGCTCATTGTAAATTCTGTCGACCACCTGGCCTGCATGTCTTCACACTGCGAAAGGAGACTAGAGGTGAACCTGCAAACTTTATACAACACGTTTCTGTGCTGAGATTTGAACTCGTGACCTCGCTGAGAGGCGACAGTGTTCGTCACTGAGATGATTGATAGAGCTCTTATGTTTGTCTATTAAACATAAAGCTACAGCTAGCAAGACTGGAAAGAGCTAGCCTCTCTTCAACCCTCATCTCTAAAGCTCACCACTAAACAAAAACCTCACTCGTAAATCGTGAGATGTTTTTACAGAGAGCTATATTGCACCGGACTATTTCTTGGCTCCAAGACTTCAAGAAGTTGCTGTTCCTGGCCAACAAATAGTCTTAGCAAAGAGATAGAACAATTTTAATCAGCATATTCCCAAAAAGTCAAACTATTCCTTTAAATAGTGATACGTTTTCCGTGTGTTCACAGCTTGTTTCCACTGCCGCCAAGTGGCCAAAAACAAATCTGAATTTGACTGAAGATCAATCATCATGTCACATTGTAACTTTTACCATTTTACAATCAGAAAGTTGTCAGAAAGTTGTCCCTGCAATATCACAAGTCAAAGTAATAAGTCTCTTTATCACTGGAATGTACACTTCTTCTCTGTTTGTGGAATGGAAGGACATGCATCTGCATGAATCGTTGCACAATGTAAAGTTTTCTTGGCTGTGTCTTGATAAAGCGCTCCTCCTTCTGGCTGCAGAGTCTACAGTGCTTGTGCAGAGTGCCACGTAGTCCACCAGACTGTGTGTGTGTGTGTGTGTGTGTGGTGGCTGAGTGTGTGTGTGGTGCAAACCCTAGTTTGGTGCTATAAAAGTAATGGAAACACAGTATTTATGAAGGAGGAAAAAATATTTGAATTGTCTGTTTCTGTCGTAGAGATTTGCGCTGAGATGAACCGGAGCTTATTTGTGTAAGCTGAGCTTTTCAAATGGGTAGACGGTAAGATCTACTACTGGAAAGAAATGTAAAAGTGTAGAGAGATGTCAATTAACAGAAGCAATGGATGTTATGAGGTTGAATATGTGGGGTTTAAGTAGAGGATTCTGACAGAAGAGACCAGAGGAAGTAGGCTTGTTCTGGATGTTTTTGAGAGATATGTGTGGTCCTGTTTGGTCAAAATGATGACATGAAAATAATCAGAACTGGAGAAAACAATCCTTTTTTCAAACTGATACTTCCAAAGCTGGATTTCTAACAGCCCTTGTTTGAGAAAACAAAGCCACCAAAACTGCAGCAATGGGGTTTTTATATCAGATGCAAGAGCACGTTTTAATAAAGTATGCCTTAAATCTAGAAGGCGGCTGCTGTAAATGTGTAAATGTAGGGTTCACGTCTCAAGCAAAGTGGCAAATGTCTGCCAGATGTTGACTCAGTGATGGCATTGAAAAATTGGTCTTGGTTTTATGATAAATTTAGCATCATGAAAGGAAGGAGCTCTTTTTTTCTTTCTTTGCTCAATGACGTGTCTTACGCAGGAGGTCTCGACACTATTTTCCTTCCGTATTCTGCAACCCAGACCTGAATATATTCAAACTCTTTTAACACAACCGAGTATGCCCAAAGAATATCAGGAATGGGGCTGAATTCCAGCTACGTGGACAAAAGAACTCTGCTAATTCCTTGCAGATGTGTCTCTTGAGCTTTGTTGGGAGAACACTGTGCTGCCCTCGCTGGAGAGAAGAAGAACTCTGCATAGAGAAATTGCAATGAATTACGAGAGAAAAACATCAGTGACCCAGTTCAGCTGGTTCTGTCTGTGTGGTGTTCCAAAGAAGAGACAGGAGGAAACCCAGGAACACCTAGTTTTCACTCTCTGTATGCAGATTCAGAGGAGGGTATCTTAGTCCTGCTCCACGCAAAAACACAATCAGGTTTTGGTTAAAAATAAGGAGCATTTACAGAAGAACAGCCACATTCATAGCTCGTGACTCTTTTCACTTTTTAATTCCCCAGGAACTGATTATTGTTCAGCAAAGTCTCATAAAGTTTCACAAAAGCATCTTTATTTGGAATAGTGAGCCATTGGAATCCTATTTCTTAATCATTTCAAACATTTCCCACTCATCTTTAACTCACATAAGTCTGCAGGGAGGATACATTTTCAGGAGATCATATAACTCCGCTCTGATTGGCCCTCAGAGCTTGCATAAACTGAAATGTAACGTCACATGAAAGTGAGATGAAATGCGCCCTCGGTATCCAAGAACAATACATCTGGTTGAACTGTCAATTACAGCATGATATCAGTTTACCATTAAATAGAACCCATTCTCAGACCATTTTCAGTCCAACTTGGGTTCTTGGTCTCTTTCTCAGCTACTGTTTGGGCAGAATAGACAACTAGAAATCATAAATGCTCATGTTGATGTATAAATCACTACCACGTTGTGTTTTTATTGCTCAAGTTTCATCTGTATGTTAAATATACACAACTAAATATGCAACAATCGATGTTAAAAGGTACCATGTGGAGTTTTTGGCCACTAGTGTTATGGAGCAACGTTTTTATGAGAGGGCCCCTGTTTTGTCTGTTCTGGAGCATGTTCTCGCACAGCAAGTGAGTGATATGATACACGTTACTGCCAACGGTTTCACACCACTCCACTGATCTACAGGTGAGATACAGGCGGCGGTAACGCGCCAAGAAATGTAGCAATGTGCCCAATAAAGACTGTTAACTATCAAACATGAATGTAAATAATACAGGTTTCAACATTTTTTTATAAAAATTAGCTCTGTCCAAAGGTGATAAAACTATTTTTTATGACATATTTTGTTTGATTATTCATAGCCAACAAAATCGGAAGTATAAAAATAACAATTTGTGGTTTTATTACCTTTGGTCAGAGCCGACTTCGCTGCTGCGTCTTTTCCAGTCTTTGTGCTAAGCTAAGCTAACATACATAAGTGGTATCAATGTTCTCATCTAACCAGAAAGTGAGCAAGCGGATTTAACAAAATGTCGGACTATTCCTTTAAACATTGGAGAAGCAGATTTGTGAAGGCCGGGACATAATGTCAGTTCAATCTGAAGGGTTACATTTGAGCAGCGTGAGTGAGAGAACAGAGCTTTCTCCTCCTTCATTACCGCCACCGAGGTACCCTTGAGCAAGTCCTCAACTCCCTGCTGCTCCAGCGTTGCTGCTCAGCGACAAACAGATCAGACTAAGGTTGCACTTTAGGGTAACTGTGTGATTGTGAACAGGACACAATAAATCTAATTTTATTACAAAAACTGTAAAAATTCATCTATATTAGTAATACTTTTTGCTACTTTTTGCTACCTTTAGTTTTAACATTGTTTGTGCTTTTCCAGTATGTGATTCTAGACATTATTCATTCTTTGTCTAAGGAAAGATCATAATCCCTCACTTCCCAAACAACTCCCTCAGGTAGTATGCAGCCCTCCAATGTTATTTGCAGTCATCTGCCCCTAGTGTCGGGATATAGGACCCTGGGATTGATCTGTTATCACAGCGGATTATTTGATCATTACTTGCTTGCTTTTTAAAGATACATAGTAGCTCATAACCAATCTCAAAGTGTACATGTTAAAAAAATCCCTCTCAAATAATCCAAATGTTTTGCTTTCAAGTCATAGCTCTCAAAAAACTTTGTGATTTTGAGCACTTGCTGTGGTTTAGCAGCAGCCATCCTGCGGTCAGTTGTGTAGATGCTAGAAAGATTATTTTGGTTTGATATAGACAGAGGAAAATGGAAACACTGGATTAAGTTTACAAACTAATAATACCTCTGGTGTTAACAGCAGGGCAGTGATTTGACTGGGCTGCAGCAAATGACTTAGGTTCATCACGAGAGGAGCGTGGGGTCACCAGTCTGCCACCAGACGCAGTAATGCAGATATCAAGTATCACGGCAGCCTCATTTTGTTTATTGCTCAGAACAGATTAATTATGACTTTATAGAAGATTACTATGGAAATGCACGTGATGAATCTTTCACGTTGTCAGCAAAGCTTAACACAGACAGGACTGGGCGGAGGGGGATTTGTGGGAGATGGTTTCCCAGAAAAAAAAATGAAAATGTTGCAGGGCCATCAAAGAGTGATTGAGGTTTGTGAAAACCTCCAATGAGAAAGTGGAGTGCAGAGACGTCTGGTAGAGTGTGTTGCAATAAGGTTGTGAGTTCATCCAACAGTCAGAGGAAAAAGCTATTTATCATGACATTCTGTTGATTTGTCAAAGAAAAAATGAATACAATATACAGCAGTGCAAATGGGTTGTGCTATTCATGCCCCAATCCTAATGAAGTAGGAAGAAAGTTTACATATTTTTGAATGTCTGTTTTTGGTCAAACTGTTATGACTCAAAATATGCATAATCTTTGTGAGGAAGAAAATATGTCTCACTGCCTGGTACTGACACACATTAACCACTTTTCGAAGAGCCAGACTGAGCAGTTATCAAACACACTTGGCTGGGAATGATCACACATAGCGTATCCATTCAGTGGTTATATGAGCAACAGCACCAGACTTGTGTAACAGATTCAGAAACGCCAAATGCTGAACTCCTCCTCCTCCTCCTCCTTCTCATCCTCATCATCATCTCACTGCAGGCTACAGGAGCAGAGCGATATGAGGTTTATACGGATACATTTAAACTTAGCTTTTCCTCTCTTCTCAATGAATATCCTTCAAATAGCGATGAAAGATATTTAAGTCAAAGACAAGTGGCAACCCCAGCTCATTTGAAATATTCGCTTTGTCACATTAAATCTCCTTTAGTTGAGTTCATAATGGGATTACGCATATTTGGCACGCCACTTTACGCATATGCGTGCGTCTATTTTTTAGTTTTCCTCCTGCAAGTTGTCCAGTCTCAGACAAATTCAGGGACCCAACAGGGAAATAACAAAAGAGAAGCTCTCCGGCAGACGCTACAGTGGTCACACAACGGCAAGGTTTTTAGCATTTTAAGCCAGGGCTCGGAGTATCAGCCACCGAAGCGCAGGGGCGCAGCTCAGGAACAAGTGCAGGCGCGACCTGTCACCATCATTCGTGATGCGGACGTGAGACATCCGGACACCTCGAGCCAGCGTGTGGCCCAGCAGCAGCCTTCCCGGCCGGCGTCCGACCTGCACACCCCCCGCGGTCTCCCGTCTTCGCTCCAAAGGCTCGTGAGAGGACACGAGCACCGCCAGCATCACAATGACCGTCTCGGTGAGCGCACGGGGACGCAGAAGAGCAACAATGAGACCCAGGAAAAGGTCACTGTCAGTCCTCCTCTGCCCCGGAGAGAAGACATGATGGTCGGCGATGATCCCTACGACCCCTACAAGTCCACTGATAGTGACAACCCATATTACAATCATTATGACGTTTACGATAGACCGAGCCGGAGATCGAGACCCGGATATGGCACAAGGTATCATCAGTATGGTAAGAGTTGGGTTCTCAAAACAACATTAATGAAAATAGATATGACCAATAAAGTGGTGTTTACGATGCTTAAATGCTCCCCGTCTATTAATTAATCCGTTTGTCTTTCTTGGTTCAACATTTCTGCATTGCGTCATCTATTTGCCATCTGTTGCTGTGTTTGTCTGTATATGAAACATATCAATTTACTGATTGATTCATGTTTTAAGTACCACTTTTATTTACTGTCATATTCTTATCTATTGTCAGTATTATAATTAGAAAATAAATAAATAATTTGTTGTTTTAGGTCTGCCTGATCTGGTACCGGACCCGTACTACATTCAAGCCTCCGCTTATGCCCAGAGAGTCCCAATGTACAACCTGAGATGTGCAGCTGAGGAAAACTGTTTGTCAAGGTAGGTCGACTGCTGTCAGGACTTATCCACAGCGAGGGAAAAAAACAGGGTTTGCATCCAAGTCTGAGTGTGATTAACAGAGCTTTGAGCCATAACTACCTCAAGTGTTTGTGGGTGAGGGCTGCCAAGTGGAACCATGAGATGAGGTAAAATTAAACGAATCCTGCCACTGATGGTACAGACGGGTGGAGTGGTGGATTTCTGTAAAGTATAATCATAGTTTGCCCCGAGGGGAGAAAGCCTGAATGGTAAACACATTATCAAAAACTAACCCAAACAACCTCATCCCTCCAAGTTGTTTTTCCACCCACCATTTACACACTGACTGCCTTCACTCAGACACTGAAAATCTGCTCCACTCAGAGGGGGGGGGGGGTCCAGCAGGAAAAACAATCTCAGTGAAGTAATTGTGTCCACATATGACCTTTTTTTTTTCTGTAAACTTATGCTCTACCTTTGTTTTGTGCCTCCAGCTCAGCCTACACAGCTAGCATTAGAGACTATGACACCCGTATGCTGCTGAGGTTTCCTCAGAGAGTCAAGAACCAAGGGACGGCGGACTTCCTCCCCAGCAGGCCACGTTACACCTGGGAGTGGCACAGCTGTCACCAGTGAGTATACGGTCATTTCACTGCTGTCCACCTCACCATCACACACAGAAAGTAAAAAATGTCTCTGACTTGTGGCTGCTTTCTTGTATAATTTGTTCTCACTGGCCAACAAGCTGACATGAATTACAGGCCTTCACGTGAAGATGTCATGCATGAAAACATAAACCAGATCCGGATCCAGTTTTGGAAAGACGTGTCTGAATCAGATATAGAACATTTAAATATTACATGTTTTTTAGAGTTTGAATCGGAGACAGAACTTTTTCTTCACACATTGTAACTCTATAGTTGTTTTAATTTGTTCGACACATCAGTTGTTTCCAAGAGATAATATTTGCCACTACACTATTTGTCTTGTCCAGTCTGTAGTTGTGGTATGGCACCCCCTGTTGAACCACAGCCGGCTTTACTTCTGGATGTTTTATAGCTCTGCTGAGATTTTGATATCAGATTTGTCATCTTAACATCTGTATTTTTAGGCTTTTAAAGACGTAACTTTATATTTTTTAAATCTCAGCATAAAGGCAGTAAAACCGAGAGATTATGTGACTGAACTTCATATGACCTCATCATTCAGTTGCTATACGGCTGCAAAGCCAGACATTGTAAAATAAAGTTGTGTGATGAGGATAATGAGCCTGAAAGGAAAACCGCTGGTGTGTTTGTTCCTTTGTTGAACTTTTGGAAAAGTGCCAGTTTTCCTTGATTCATCGGGAACTACCTCACAACATAGTTATGTTGTGAAACAACCAGTCCACTGTGCTTATTCCCAAAATGGAGCACATTCGGCAAAGATCGAATAAGCTGTTACTGTAGACTGTATATATTTTTGCCAGTGTTTTGAAAGTCAACTTGTGTTAAAATCCAGACCGTTTTGTCTCATTAAACAAACTGACTTCAAGATAATAGAGTGAAAGCAGATTTAGATACAGTGTAGTGCTACATGTACATGATAAATACATGTGATGTTTGCAGTCACAGGGACTCAATTTCAGTGAATACTGGGAAACAAAATATACTTAAATGTTAATCAGTAATTGTGTAAATGTAACTCAGGAACAAGACAATCTCAACATGTCAAACAGTGTCTGGTTGTTTCAATAAGTCCCAGACTGCTTTGGGACTCACTTGGTGTAGATAAAAAATGCCGGAGTTGTTGAACACTGCTGCTGCTGATCCACAGGCACTTCCACAGCATGGATGAGTTCAGCCACTACGACCTGCTGGATGCCTCCACCCACCACTCGGTGGCTGAAGGCCACAAAGCCAGCTTTTGCCTGGAGGACACTTCCTGTGACTACGGCTATTACAGGCGATTTGCCTGCACCTCACATACCCAGGTCTCAATGATACCCGCTGAAATGTGGATGTTACTGACTGTAAAGCTGCTCTTATTTCGTTTTTATATTAACGCCTGATTACATGACTACTTGTCTGTGAAAGGAGTCGTTCGTACTCACAAACCAACAGCAAACTCTACAGTTCTTCTCTCCTCTGCGTTTAGCATCTTTCAACTCTCTGTCTTGGCTTTACTGCCCACAACATTACTGTTGTGGTTCACTCGCACCGCTCACATCTGCTCTTTTCTGGCTATAGCAGGCAGCTAACACCTCTGATAAATGAATTGTATGCTTCCTGCACGGCATCAAAGCAGACAGACAAAGTTAGCCGCGTGCTGGGGAACATAGTGAAGAATTTAGCAGCTATAGAGACAGAAATGTCCCTCAGGAGTTTTTGGAGACCAAACACAGAGCTTAAATGTGCAAATATGCAACCAATCTACTTTATAAGGTTCTGATACATCGGCCTTCTGTTTACATTTTGTTATGCTGCCCCCGAGTGGCCAAAAAACAAACAAGTTAATGCAGGTTTGAGCTCACAATCTAACACCATATATAGCCTGTTAGCTCCTGTTAGCTAGCGCAGCAACAATGTCAAAGTAATTCTGAATCGACCAACATCTAACTAACTAAAAAAAAAGAAAGTAGTCTTTTACCTTTGTGCTTTTCCTTTTGTGACATGTCAAAATGTCTTCAGAGAACAAGATCGATTGAATTATGGTTGCAAAATAAAAGCCTGTTCACGTTGAGGAATATAGTTATAGAGATAACGAAAAACACTATAGTGGTTCAGTTTCATTTGGGTTCAGACCAAAATAGAGGATATGAGTTTACTGATTTGCTTTTCATTAAATGACCTACTCATAGGAATTTGGTTACATTTCCTGGAAGGAGAGTGGAACTAAGAAAACAAGTGCTCTTGTACTGAGGCAGCTGTCCTTTAGTATTTCCTCATCACACGAGCCAGTGGTGATTAAACGATTTCCTGTTCCTCCTGTCAGACGATCTCGCCTGCCTGAACGTCTGATCAGTTGTTTGGCACACTATTTATTTTTTCCATCCTCTTTTCTTTATTTAAGTCTTGCCATAAGATATCATACTGTAATAAAACATGAAAATCTTTGTTACAGTCCTTTACGTAAAAAATATAATATCCATGTATTGTTTCATAAGAAGTGTGTTTGTTTAAATAATGTTTTGTGTGGATGCTGTCCAATGTGTAGGGCCTGAGCCCAGGGTGTTATGATACCTACAACGCAGACATCGACTGCCAGTGGATTGACATCACAGATGTGAAACCTGGAAACTATGTCCTCAAGGTTTGTTAGAAATACCAGAAGACATTTGTCTTCCTCGTCGGACGCTAAACTCCTTTTAAAGAGCTGCTTGTGTGGAATCCCATTGAGTCCATGCTGTTTATTTAGCTTTTGTTGCTTTGTTATTGATCCTTATATTTTTTTTGTATGTTGTTCCCCACAGATCAGTGTTAATCCGCAATATCATGTGCCAGAATCAGACTACAGCAACAACGTTGTGCGCTGTGATGTTCGCTACACTGGCAACTACGCCTACGTGTCAGGTTGTCACATGTCATCGTGAGTATCATGTTTTAAGGGACAAATGTTTCTTTGACATTTCCTGCATTGTCTATCAATCCTCGTGGTGTTTTTTTTCTTTCTTTCAGGTATTAGATAACATAATAACATTCACAGGAACTCAGCAAAGATGTTCTGTAAATGACACCGCAGAGGATATGACAGCATCATGAAATAAATGTAAAATTGTGATACTTACATTTTAGATTTTGAAACACTCCCAAGTTAGAAAGAAATGGTAGGAATCATCGGACGCCATGGTGATGGATAATGTTGAATTTGCTTGTTTTTCTCCATACTGATAAGTATGTTGTTATCTCATCTTTTCATGAGAATATTTTAAATGTCTTACTTCTATTGCATTGTACTGTAATCTTGCGTGTTATACCACTTGGAGGATAGTTAAAGAATAAAGTGTGAACCAGCTTACCCTCATTGTTAAATCCATATCAGTTATATCACAACTTAAAAATGAACCAGCTGTAAAGGAAATGTATTTGTTATATTTATACGAAAGAAACTCTTACAAAGATTTTGTTGAAACTAAGTTGAATAAAACTTTGTGATATTGCATCACTTTTTTTGGGCTGACCAGATTGAGGTGACTTCCTTGTCTTGCCTTTGTTTCTACATTTTATTGTCTTTGCCACACACACACACACACACACACACACACACACTAAATCACAAACACACACACACACACACACGCGGAATCACAAACACGCAACCACCATATAAAAAGGTGGATACAGACAGTTTAAATGGCTGCAAACATCTGATTCTTTTCCATACACATTATGATATTATTTTGATGAATCCATTAATTGTTTAGTTGATAAAATGTCAGAAAATATGGAAATGTGCCCAACACAAGTTCCCAGTGCCCAACGTAACATCTTCATTCAAATATAAAACAGAGAAAAGGCTCACATTGGAGAAGCTAGAACGAGAAAATGTTTGGCATTTTTGCATATATTATTTGTTCAAGTATATATTTTGTATGTATTTTACACAATATAATTATGTAATAATATGCTTAATAATTACGGGTTAATAGGTAACACTTTGGGCTCCATAATGTGGATCCGTGTTGCACAATATTAAAATATTAAAATCACAACCTGGCTCTCGTAGTTGTACTCCGGTGCAGCAGGAGGCGTCACTGGGACTTTGTTCGGGTTTGAATCCAGTGATTTTTATCTGGCTGCCAAAGAAATTGGAGTCAAACACCAGCAGTGTGTGAGAGTGTGTGTGTGAGTGTGAGTGTGAGTGTGTGTGAAGCATAGGACATTATATTACCTAAAAAAAACTCTTGTAAAGATGCACCCGGTCAGAGTGTCGATCCCGTCGTTTCGTTCAGAAACCAACTCGATCGAGAAAGGGTACACGGTAAGCTGCTCGGTAACAACCTCCGTCTGTCCGCGTCGTCTGCCCGGCTGCTGTCATCACTTTTACATTGTGTACTCTGATTTATTCATGTCGCTGTTGACCGCGTTCACCGTGTACATTGTTAAACACGGCAACGTTAAAGAGCGCACCTTCATCTAAATGTAACGTTTGGCAAAGACTTCTGGATTTGTGTTGTAAGCTGTTATGAACCAGCCCACCCAGGACCCCCCCAGCTGTCTGACATGGATTAACGATTTATTTAAATAAAGCTGTATGACATCATTCATTGCACAGGGAACCTCAAATGTATATGAATAGTAGCTAATCCTTAATGACCATACCAGAAATGTTGTGTTGCAACGAGACACCGTTACAATGTTTATTCCTTAGTGTGTTGGTCAGCCGCCACAAATGTTGGAGCCTACATTTCCCATAATGCATTCAATAGACGTTTGGTTAGGCTCCCCCAAACTCTCATGTCTTTCAAACTCCACAGCTCCAGATTGAAAATGCTCAGACTTTCTGTCACAAATATGTGCCATTTGCATTACTTCCCCTCTACTGACCTGACCTCGTGTCCTCTTTTCCCACATTTAAAAGAGTAGTTTAGCTCTTTTGGGAAATGCACTTATTTGCTTTCTTGTAGCTCATTTGTTAATAATGTTGACTTGCTGCCTCTCTGTTTTAGGAGACACAGTGGTTGTGTTGCCAGTACTGAACTGCAGTAACAACACTGCCATCATTTATAAGTGGATTTCCTTATTTACATAAGGCTGGCAATGAGAGGGGCATTTTACGGAAAAATCCAGCAGAGTGACGGAAGTAGAAGTCTGTTTAGGGACGTTAACTGTAATTTTGACAGATCTAACAGCAGATGTTTCCTCTTGGTGACTGACTGTAACTGACGGCTCTGCAGTCAGCTGGTCACTGTGGTCAGTCAGTCACACACTGACTGTAGGCACTGGGAGGGGCCCTTTAAGGCTGATGTGCTCTGCTGATAAATCATGATTCCCTGAACTGACTCCCAACGACAGAGTTCAACCCTTTTTGTCAAAAGAGTAGTTCAAATGTTTCTTCTTTCTTTCAGGTCTTTAGAATTGACGTGCTGATGAATGGCAGACAACACGCTGTTGAGAAACGCTACAGTGAATTCCACGCTTTGCATAAAATGGTGAGCTTCAGTGATTTTGTGTATTAACAAAGTCGCCCTTTCTCATGAGTTCAAATTTAGTGTTTAAGTCCTTAACCATTCGTAAAATATTATAATTTTTACATATTGACCACCATGTTTTTTCTTACTGATTTATGAGTTGCAAAATCATTTGAATATATGAGCTTTATTGCATAATGTGTTGCATTATGCATAATAAATCAGTTAATAGTCAGTTAATAAATCGACAAACTGCTGAAAATGTAATGACAATGATTTTATTAATCAATTATTATCAAATGAAAATGCAATGTAGATAGCAGTTTCATATTATTATTATTATTATTATTATTATTAACTGAATCCAGTTTTTTGTTTTTTTCGTTGCTCTGTCAAATAGCGCAATTATAAGATGACACTTTGGGCTCTATGAGCTTCCATCTTCAATTGTCTTAGATTTCAAAGAGTAATCAATTAATCGAGTAGTAAAAAACATATAAATAAAATTGATACAATTATATTGTTCCAGCCCATTTCATTGAAAAAGATGCAATATTTTGGGCTTCACAAAACATGAAAAAAACAGACGGACGAAGAAATGTGAATTGATTATTTAGCTATTTACAAGTACTAAATTCAGAAGTGTGAAGGCGTGCTTAGGAAATCACAGCAGCAAATAAATAAATGATGAACGAGCTCCCTGGTGGTGAACCACGTCCACCAGATCGTTTGAGGTTGTAGAGTTACAGATGAGTTCCTCTTCCTGTCCTGCTGAACGGTCCACATGTTAGCATGCTGCTATAGCATGGCTATGTGTATATCTTTGAATGATGTTTTTAAATCCCTCCAGCTAAAGAAGAGCATAAAGCCACCTGAGATCCCTTCCAAACATGTTAGAAACTGGGTTCCCAAAGTGCTGGAGCAGAGGAGGCAAGGCCTGGAGCTCTACCTGCAGGTACTCCGACACAGCTCCACCTGCTGGAACTGAAACGTAACATTTCTTTATGCATAAATATCGAAGTATTGATACTGATTCAAAATTTGAGTTGTGTCAATTCTCCCTGTGGTAGTAAAAATGGTTTAAAATATTGTCTTTCAATGTATTGTATCAAAGTTAGAAGTTCCAGTATCATGACCAGACTAATATGGAGTCGGTATCAAGAACGCTGCCTTTCTGTCTTTTACCAAATACACATTTAGTCTCTAACTCAAAGTAAACACACAAAACTATTGTACAGATGTCGGGAGATGATACAAACCGTTCAACGAAAAGGTCCTTCAGGTCACTTCAGCGGCACTGCTTCTTGTGCACATTGCAATTTGCTTTTGTTTTGTCTGTTTTAACAGACTATAATTATGGAAAATGGAGTTCTTCCAAAGATATTCTTGGATTTCCTCAATATCCGCCATTTTCCTTCAGTGCCAAAAACAGAAAGCTGTGGGTGAGTTGACTCTATGATATAAAAGACCAATTTTGTGGTATTTGAATAAAAAAAAAAAGATCTGTTGGTTGTGGCTTAACTTGTATTTTTGTTCTCTAAGGTCGTTTGATACAGAATCAGAGGAATCGAGGTGAATATAAACTATTGTATGAAACAGCTGGTCCGATTCTTGTTTAGCAGCTTTTCCAACCGGTTAAAACTTGAATCACTATTTGCTCTGCACTTGAACTTCACCCAGTGTAGGTGGTGACACCACCTACATTTCTGCATCCTGTTAACTTATATACAAACCTTCTGATTTCTCCTTTTTGGATTCTTCTCAGTAAACTTTCACATCAGCCAGTCTTGCTGTTTCTGAGAGACCCCTACCTGCTGCCAACCGCTCACGGTGAGTTCAGGCTACTTACACCTATATCGTAATATCATTTCAGCAGAAAGTGGGGATGAGCTTCTCCCTCATCTTCCCTTCAATGTGAAAAACGTTCTTTTCTTCTTTCCGTTCAGATGCATTTTCAAATGTCGTGATTGAAGGTGTGGTCCACGGAATTTTCTACCCAGATCTTCAACCGAGGTAGAGCTGCGGAGCCGTCTCTGAGGGCACGTCACTACGAACGGATGCTTCATGTTCGCACACCGTGTTAGGTGTGCACCACGGAGGATGTGACATGTGGAGATGCACTGAGCCTCATTTACATTTAGCAAAGCATAAAACAAAAATCCATACATTTAGGTTCTTTTCTTTCGATAAATAACTGGCACCAGCACCATCGGTTGTTCCTAAAATAAGCAATATTACCCCGTGTGGATTTCTCAGCTATAAAATGTAAGCATATATGAAACAGTGACAGGTTATTTTTAGTAAGCTGATAAACTTCTTTTTTTTCTTCCTTATTTCTTAAGAAAGAATTGAGTGAGATGTACAGGATCAGCTGGAAATAGAGAGAAGAGGAAGCTCAAAGTAGAGAGAAGTTTGAAAGCTTTTAGTAAGTGAATACCAGAAGTTGAAACTGAGGGGAACCAGAAAGGAAACGCTGATGCCAGCTGGACTGAAGGTTAGTTTGCCAGACACGGAGGGGCCCTGTAAAGACGAAGCACATGCAGGGCTGCAGTGAGGAGCTGGATCGTGGCCTGCAAACAGCGATGTGTTCCCTCCCCTTGTAGCACCAGTACTGTGGTTTGTGAACATTGAGCCATCTGAGGGGGGAGCGTGGAACAATGTAGAGCGTGTTTGTGCATTCTGGTGGAGTTGACGGCTATGTGCCACATGTAAGGGTGGAGATGATTTGAGTTGTGATGTGGACCTCATTTGTTGAGCATACGATGTTTGTGAAGGAGCGGCTCAGTCTGGAGCTCCAGGTTTTCGGCACAAAGCCTATTTGAAATGTAACCACGACAGACAGACCCCCAGATTCTTTTTTTTTTTTTTATTTTCAGACTTTATCCGATTCGGCGCAGCTCCCTCTGGAGCAACAAAAGGCTCAATACACATTTTTCACATACACAGTAGTACTCTGCGAGACCTGTATACAGACTTTGGTGTGTAAAATAAGTGGCGTTCCCCTTTAAGAGAGGATTAGGGCAAACTCGAGGGTACTTCTCCATTTATTATTCACTTGCACTTCAAAAAATGTTTTTACGAAAGATGCAACGATGAGATACGAGGACTGATAGCTGACCGTAAAGCAGGAGAATGAGCTGGTTTGTCCCACAGCACATGCAAAATGTAAGTACTAGTCTAATAGGAGTAAAAGTATTCTGATAACACTTAAAGGCCACTATCTAACACTAATGCCAGTCCTGTTAAGTTTAATGTTGAATTTACACATAATCTAGAAAGCCAGTTTTTCCACTTGTGGTGATTAGAAGTCTAGTCACCCATCATGAAAAGGGAAGCAAAGTGTGCTTTGTTTTACAGAGGATTTTTAAAATGAGAGATGGTGATTTAAAAGACTACCAACCAGTAAAACACTGTGCAATATGTCACTAAAATACAGGTTGTCTTTACAAACCTCTCCCGATGTGTACTCTTGAAGATACTTGCAGCGTTTGAAGTAGTTGGTGACACTTGTCCGGCCAGAGTTTTCTTATGTGACTGAACCTCCAGTGGTGACAACTACATATTTATACTGAATCAAATGAATCCTGAGCAATTAACCTCAACTAAACAGATCATGAGTTTATGTTTTAACAGAGTAAATCACTTCCTAGGGGATCCATCTCATAGATTTATATTTATTTATATTTTTCAACATTGTACTGTTTGTGCTCTTGAACATGTGAAAAGTGTCATTTATGTGCCATAACGTCAACCTACAGTGAACACTGGAATTCAACTGTAGCACTTTAAGATGGGCGAAATGTTAAATACTGACACCAATAAAATTCATCATTGCCACTAACTTCTTTTGTCAGAATTTTAATTCAAATAACTGAATTGACACAAGCTTTTATTAGAAAAGTCACTAGAAAAGGCCGTCAGTTGACATGCTAACAATTGTTCTGTATTTCAGTCAGTTTTTATCACATTAAAGGGGTTCGCATAAAAGATCAGAGAAGTATATTCCCTCAAAACAGTAAATCTCAACATATCCTTCTTTGTATTTTTTAATGTGCTTGTTATGAGTCGGGACAGAATCTTTGACATTCGTGCTGGACAATAAACCAACAGTTTATTGACCAACCTGTTTATGTCAGTATGTTCGCCAAGATTTGTCCCCTTAAAACTCAAAACCGTACAGAAACATGTTTGTTTTCATTCAAAACAAAGCAGAATGAATAGTTTAGAGTATTTAAATTACCATCCTCCAGCAGATCACATAATCATCATATCATTTTCAATATGTTGTGAATGTATTTTTGGTCAAGTCACCCACCCAGGTTCACAAAGAAATGCTATCACAAAATACTGGCTTAACATTTGGAAATAATCTGAGAGGCAGAATATTTCAGAGGCATAGAAAATTTAAAATAAAAATCCTTTGATTTCTGTCCCAGTAACAGTCCAGTAGTAACAACACACACACATCTGTTTGGAACGTGTGATCCAGCAAGTCAACGCATCATCTTTGGTCCCTACGACAGATTCAAAGTTCTCCGTGATCGACTTCGTCTTTCAGCCGTTCGTCCTGGTTGGCGTCTGCCTGAGGTTCTTTCATGTTGGCGAAGGCAACTTCTCTTGTCAGCTGTTCGAGAGGAGGGAGACCAACCGCCAGGTTTCTCATAGCGATGGCTGTCATCAAGAATCTAAAAGAGAAGGGGAGGGAGTTAATGAGATACATTCACGGACATTCTCTGTGTGAATACAACTACACCTGGTACGTGACTGTGTTGTTGGAAGACAGCGCTCACCCCCTCCGTATCGTGTAGTACTTCTTCACTGCAAAGCGCTCCAGTCGCTCCACTGCACCGGCCTCCCTGCGCTTCTTCACCTCCTTCATGCGCCGTTGTCTCTTCAGGAACAGCTGCACAATCGGGTCAGTCACATTGACCTCCGACCCTTCATCCCCGTCTGCAGCGATAAGAGGCTGCAGCTCAGGAGGAAGAGGTTCGGTTTCTATGGGAGGAGACAGAACAGTCCGGTCAGCATCCGGGGATTTTTATTTATGTTTGCATTGGAGCAACGCACTGTATTTTGTCATATCATATATTCCTCTATTAAGTGCTCCCCCTTCATAGTGTTAACTGCGTAACATTTACCTGTCCCGTTGCGAACACGCTCCTGAAGCTCATACAGCTTGGTGAAGTTCTCCTGCAGCGCCGCCTCTGTGGTGTTCACGTAGATGTACATATAGCATGATGGGTCTTCAGACACTGTGTACACCTTGTGGTAAGCTCCAGCCGGTACCTACACACGTACACATTATGGTAAATGCTTTGAGTGTGTCGAGGTTAAACAGATCCATGTTCATGGGGATGATAGTGTGCTGCCGTACCTTGATCTGCTCACCGGGCTGGAGAGTGTAGTTCTTCTTCTCCTCCACGATCTCAACATTCACTTTGCCCTGCAAAACACTGATGCTGGTGTTGCCCAGATCTTCACTTACAAAGTTTTCCAAGTGGAGACCTGAGAGGTAACATACTGCCAGTTAGCACAAAGCAAACTACAAACCATAACTATCTTGTTCCGTAAAAATGAAAAGGACGAGAAGAGATTCGTAACCTGGGAAGTCAGCGATGAAGACAATCTCAGTCTGATTGTCCAAACTGCCCTCAATCTCCTGAAACTTGGTCCTCCACGGTGAGAGGTCCACCAGTAGAGGCATCAGCCATGTGCTTGGTCGGAAAGGTGACCAATTTGCCTTCACGAAGTCCACGCGGGGATCAAAGATCCTTAGAGAAAAGTCCAGAGCAAGTTTAAAAACACACTCTTACATTATTCATTTGATACTTCTGAATTCATTATATTGATAGCATCTTTTTCTCAAGCAAAAGAGTCTCTCATACCTTTGCTGGAAGCGTTCGTTGATGGACACCCAGATGTCGAAGTAGATTTCAGGATCAGAGATATTATAGCGGGGCAGGAAGTGATTGAGGCACGTGGCATACTGCTTCAGCATGTCTCCGTGGTCTTTCCAGCGACGGCTTTGTGTGAACACCTTCAGTACACAGACAGTGTAATTATTTCTTAATTAGTAGTCGGCTGAACTGAAATTAAGAGAAAATCTGAATCTCGAAGGTCAAGTCAGGAAGTGGTATATTTAGTGATACCGTGTTTTTTTCTTCAAGATGTTTGTTATCTAACCTTTAAAGTGTTTTATCATGACAGTTAACCTTACACGCTTTGCATTGCAGCTCTTGCGCATTCGTCCTCATCATCATGACGGTCTGCGCTGCATGATATACCGTTTAGATAAATTGTACTGCTCACACACTCTGTGCCTGACAGTGTTTTTTTCCCTTGTAACTCACCCCGGGGTTCAGATATCCAGTGTCTCCAGTTTTTCCATCTTTGTAGGTGATCTTAACATGCTGATGGCTGCGGGAGTGAACCATCATGTCCCATGAGTAGCCGTACAAGCCGTTGGTCCAGTTGTTGTAACCCTGCAGAAACACTAAATATTAGGATAATTCCATATAGAAATCATTTTTTCCTCACCCTTTCACCAGTTTTTATTTAAGCTGTATATAACCCAAGACTTTAAATTCATAAAGAACCAAGAACATATGATGAGTATCTACTCCTTTGGGGCTTTCACCTTTCTGCTGACACCAGTCTGAGCTGTTGTTTGCTGCGGATCAATGACTGTTGACTCTGATTGAGCAACAATCGGCCTGGTGACTCAGAGAGGGTTTAAAATGCTATTGCTGACAGCAAAGTACAATCCTATTAAACAGAATGTCTCCGTGTGTAGAGAAGGGGCCAGAAGAACCAGTATGCAACCATTTACTAATTGGTTCTTTGGATCAAGTCAGCTGTAAAAGTCTTTTGGGAAAACGAGTGGTTGGACTAATGTACCTGTGTGATGAAGTGGGAGTAAGGCAGGAAGAGCTGTTCAGTTATGTAGAGAATAGTAAAGATGGCTGCCAGCTTGTGCTTTAATCTCAGTTTGGGAGCTTTGGCGACCGGCGGGGTCTCCTGGGGATCGGTGCTGGTGCTTTGGGTCGAATTGTAAACACAGGAAGTACTGGGCTGAGGGTCCGGTGAGGTGATTGGCAGGATTGCCCTGAGGAATGCTGGGAAACGGGCGAAGAATCTTCTTGGCCAGTCGGTGTAGCAGAAGAGGGGACTGGTGGCCAGCATTGTGTAGGAAAACATCCCTGTTCGAGGATAAACATTCTCAATAAGATGGAGGCAAAAGGACACCCCACAAATTAACGGCAGAATTAAAAGAAGTGAGATGTTTTTTTAATGCAGACTCACCGATGCTGAAGAGCTGAGAGTTCATACAGTGGAAGTAGGAGACAAAGAAAAATGCATACGGTCGTGTGGCATCAAAAAACAGCAGGTAGCCGGCTGTCAGATCCAGAAAAAGACCACCTCCGTGCACCACTAGCAGGTTAACTAACTCCACAGGGAGAATCACTCTGAAAAACAATGTGTGAACAGCAAGATCAGAGGGGGAGTACTGAGATACAGTCAGTGATAAAACAAAGTCTTTGAGCAATAAAACCTACTTGAAAGGATCAAACAGCCAATGATGAGCCAGGTATGACATCGAGTATCCCTCCACCCAATCTGCATCCAACTTTTTGATTCCAGCGAGGAAGTATACAATAAATATCTTTGAGGAACAAAAAAACACTGACATCATTAGACCACCTGTACCAAAATCCATGTTCATGAAGAACTTAAGAATTGACAGTATTAGCTGTTAGGAGTCCCTGGTGCACAAACCTGTGTCCTCAACAAGGTGTAATTCCATAGAGGCACGTGAGCATTTCTTATAGAAGGCCTCCGCAATCCATCGATTGACCTACAAATAAGACACAGGCATTAAGGTCTTCCTCTGCTCTCACACGTAAATGGGACAGAAATGCTCAAGCAAACACACAGACTTAAATAAAACATGATCTCACCAGTATCTATTGGCGTCCATAAATGTGAGCTGAAACCCGATGAGGCCGTACAAGTACGAGTGATTGTTCCACGCCGTTTTGTCCAGAAAGAAGACGTACCAGTACGTTGAGATGAACATGAGGCAGGAGAGACGGTAGAAACAGCCAAGCATGATGCCCAAAGCACCTTCAGCGAGAAACATAAATAGCAACTTCAGTTAACAATAAAAAAAACAGTTGTTACTATTAATTATTCTATTTTTACACATAGTCCAAAGGGAGTCCTACTCAGACAGTAAAAATAGCTGTTTAATGTCTTCTGTGGACAACTGTAGAACTGAAAATAGAAAGGCTGCGTTACAAAATGAAGGTGTGGAGTTTGACAGATGTGGGTCTAACCAAAAGATGCTATAGTATTGCATTATGGGAAATAAAGGCATTCAGAGACCCATACTAGAGACTCATCATCAGGATATTGTGGAATATCTGTTTGATGTTTATTTTGTCTCAGATCATTTTTGCCTCTTTTTAAATATGTTGTGTATGAGTTATAAGTTGTATATGACAAATATATACAAATGTAATACCACATACAAAACAAGCAGTATTACTGTACCTACAATACTGTAACAGTGTTAATGTTGTAACTGTCAAGAATTAAGTGGCTTTGTGGTTTCCTCTGGTGTGAAACTAATGTTACGTAACACTGGAAGTGTCGAGATTAAGAGTAGAGCATGGATTAGTCAGTATCAGTATTTATTCACTTTGATTGTCATGGTGTTGTTGTTGTTGTTGTATTGCATTCTTGCTACAGTGAATGCCACATTTGCATTAGTTGCCAAAATCTTTGTAAGACTCAAACATAATCTGTCATGTTGGCTTGAAGGGAGAATAAAAGTGAAAAATTGCAGGTCTGGTTTCATGTGCTTTCATCTTCACCGTAGACAGCCACCCCACAGAGGCTGTCTCCAATAAAACCTGCATCCGCTTAGACTCAATAAAGACGGGGTCCCCTTTCCTCACCAAGCCTCAGTGAACACTGGGGCGTGAGCATTTTTAACCTGTAACGTTTTGGACATAAGTTTCTAACATTAAATAAGGAGTGTGACCAACCCAAGAACATCACCACATACACCAGATACATCCAATCCAGCGGCAGTGGCTGCAAGACATTGAAGAGGGGAAAGCGGCACACAGGGGCACCATCCATGTATTTAAAGTCCAGGTGACTGAGGCCACGTTCCTGCGTGATGTCGATAACCATGAGCAGACCTGCATGAAAGGACACACAGTGAAGTTGGAAGGGCACAAGTGTTTTAAAAGCTCCTAGGAGCTATTCCAATCCTGTTACAGACATCCCTTAAACCCAGCAGGCAGTCTGGTCTGAGTCAATTATATCTTAACTTACCAAACAAGCAGCGGAAGATGCCAAGGGATGCAGGGTCAGTGGGGCGGTTCAGGAGGGTCACCAGGCTGTGCCAGGAGGTCAGGTCCTCCTTCCTGAACCCAAAGATCTTCTCCATCTTGCTTTTGATCTGTGGTGTATCGTTTTTTGGAGCTGTATCCTTCTTTGCAGTCTGCTCCTCTCCATCACTGCTCACAAGAGCACCTAGAGGTTTAACAGGCCCATGAACGAGATACGATGTAATATGTTGCTTTGTGACTGAGAGCAAGATAGTGTGTAGAGAACACTTTGTCAACGGAAATAATTGTGCATTTATTTACAAACCATGAAAATCCTTGCATGATTTACAAAACATTCAGCTCTTATTTACACACCAAGCCCGACTATGTTTTAGATTACAGCGTCTCCTTGTTTAAATATTGATTGGTCTAACTGGTTATTGCATTGGCTAAACAACACCACACCGACACACTTGACTTTCACCGCTGACTAAACCTCACCTGCAGTTGTGTCTCTCGCCTCCATGCTACAAAATGTTCAGAAATAAACGGGTTTTGATCTGGGACATGGGTTTTAAGATAGCCCTGTCTCCTGGACCCAGGTGGACGTTTACTGCACACGTCTATGAAAGGGACAAAGTTACGTGTCACAGTCCCCCACACACACACGGGCGAGACAGGGTAGGGAGGGAGAGAGAGGAGGTGGATGTTTCCGGAGGGATTGGAATGTTGTGAAAGAGGTGCTCGTCGTTGATTGGCTGATTTTTCCAATAAACACGCCCACTAAGAAGCACAACTCAACGTCATATCCGGCGCCAATTTCACCACACCTCCATACTAAAATTAAATGAAAACAAACAAATTACATCAAAAAATATGAGGGGAAAAAACAATAAATATGCATTAAATGAAAAAATTTGAATGATCGTTAACAATCAATATTTATCTGTTATATATTATGTATAATGTATGAAGGAATCAGGTTACATTTACATATTTTGTGCCACATTTACTCCCTTTAAATATTCATTTCCTCTGAAAAGAAATATAGAAAATAATACATATCTTTAAATTGAAAAATTGGCTTACAACTGCATGGGCAGAGGCACAAAGCTGGAGGTATCTTGAAAACCCTCGTGAGCATGACACACTGTCACCATCTGTGCTCTTTGATACACTGTTTTTTCAAAATCACAATGTACCACACACATACATCTCGTGACTGTTCTGATGACTCTTTTTCCTGCAGTAATTCAAGCGCCTGTCGTGACTACAATACCACACAGTACCACTGGAGGGCAGTCACGTATTGTATGTTTGTTGACCCAGAGAAAAGAAGAGGGATTTAATCTCCAGATTTTAGTAAGAGGCCAGTCCCATTATTGAAGACAGTTGGCAATGTCAGAGTTGTTGATGTTAAAGAATGTTAAATTCACAGAAGAAACAATAACTACAATACTACAATACCAGATACAATTGTTTTATTTCTGTAAGGGGTTCGGTAAGGGATCTGTAATTGAAATTGATCATGCTTGGTTGTCATATTTTCACACACAAATAAATTGTGACTGTTCCACCCTTCTTGCTTTCAGTATCTATTAAAACATTTCTTAAAGTTAGCTTATTAAATACATCCAAAAACAAACAAAATATAATTTAATAGCCCAAATAAATGTTTTTTTCTCGACACAAATTAATAAATTATAATTTTCCTCTCAAAACATTTAGACATATACAAACAAATAAACAAACACGTAGTGATATTTGACAGACATTTCCAGGTTTATGTAATCCCTCCGTTTGACGGCAGGTGGCGCCGTTGAGCGGAACAGCCGCCTTTGTCGTAGAACGCTGCAGTGAATAGTGAGAGAAGAAGAGTATCAAAGAGCAGCCACAGCCTATTAGGTCAATAGTACAGCATCTCCTGTCTTTGTGTCTATATTTGCGATAATCTAGAAACATGTAACTGGAACCCAAGAGGGTTTTGCGGTCTGGAGGCGTGTGTGGAACAGAAGCGTGTCAGAAGCAGCGCTGTTATTGTTTTCGTGTGTGAATTCGTAGCTAAGCTAGCTCTTAGGTTAGCTCCTCTTCAACTAGCTAGCTCCTCGTCTGGCAGACTGTCTGACCTGAGAGAATCGGTGTTTACTGTCCAAATTAACCCTACACCTCTCCCTCAGCCGGTCCCCAGCCAAGCATCAGGTAAGTTAGTTCATGTGGTCGTTTCTGTTAAATATACTGTGCATCTGGTTTCCATATGTTGCAGGAGGAAGCCTTGGTAAAGGTACAAGTGTACCTTTGTTAATCAAACTATATAAAATACAAGTACATGTAAATCTCTTTACCATGTGGGTAAAATATGTTTCAATGTAATTTGCTTGATTAGGCTTATTTATTGTCGGACATTTTATAGACTAAACAATCAATCAACAGATTAATCAGGAATTCAATTAATTGTTAGTTGAAGCCCTCAAGAAAAGTTACATAAAACTCCAACACAAGCTTTATCCCAATGCTGCAAAGTCCCTAACAGTATCTGCTCGAATGATTTTCATATTCTGTTGATCTATGCAGATCTGTTGCAAAGTCAGGATACAGGACAGCAGACTTGTTATTTATTAAAAAGATTGTTTTGTTTGTGTTAGGTCTCTTTGGAGGTGTCGAGATGGGAAGTCTGAGCAGTAGGTTCCAGTCCCCCTCTCGGGGACCAGAGGAGGCTGCAGAGGACACAAGTACCAGCCACAAGCATGGATGTGAGTGTACGAAGAGGAAACGACACGCCCAGTGTGACTGTGACAGTGAGCAAGAGGAGGATGATGCCATACTAGATGCACCTCGCAGGCAAGTCTGGTTTTAAAAAAAAATTTAAATAAAAATAAAAATAAATCAATTCAGTGTCAAATATCTTTGAGACGTGAATATTTTGTCTTACATTTGTTTTTGTCTCTCCTCTGTTGTTTGTTTTCCAAACCTAAGCAGGAAGAAATTGAAAAGCACGTCACGATACATTTATCAGACTTTGTTCCTGAATGGAGAAAACAGCGACATTCGTATCTGTGCTCTGGGACAGGAGTGGAACCTCCACAAAGTGTACCTGTGCCAGGTAAAACAGCGCCAAGACAACCGGTGATATATCCTTTCACGTTATCATTGCCTGTCCTTTAATATTGTTTCTTTTCTTGTTTCTCTCCCTCCTAATTGCATTCTGTAGTCTGGGTATTTCTCCAGCATGTTCAGCGGCTCTTGGAAAGAGTCCAACATGATGGAGATCAACTTGGAGATCCCCGACCAGAACATCGACACTGAAGGTAAAGAAAGCAGCAGTTGACTGTTTGTTTGTTTGTTTATGTGTTTTACTGATAGAACTGTACTTGTGTGTGTGTGTGTGTGTGTGTGTGTGTGTGTGTGTGTAGCTCTGCAGGTCGTATTTGGATCCCTGTACCGGGATGATGTCCTGATCAAGCCCAGCAGAGTTGTCAGTATTCTTGCAGCTGCTTGTATGCTACAGCTGGTCAGTACATTGAATTAACACTATTAAAAAGCTATTATGTCAAATATAAAATGACCATCTTTATTTTTGCAAATGCACTCAGTAACTAATCAAGTCCCTTTTTCTTTGTTGTCTACAGGATGGCTTGATCCAGCAGTGTGGAGAGACCATGAAGGAAAACATTAGTGCGAAGACCGTGTGTGGCTACTACGCTTGTGCCAGCATCTATGGCTTAGATTTAGTCATGAAAAAGTGCGATTTTATTATTTGGAATCACAGTAATTAAAAGGGTAAAACAGTATCTTATACTGTGTACTCACATCACACTCTTTCTGCAGGTGTCTTGAGTGGCTTCTGAACAATCTGATGACCCATCAAAATGTCGACCTGATGAAAGAACTTGGGTGTGTGTGTGCGCTCGGCTCACGGTTCTGTAGTTTTTACATCATCTTCCTTTCGTTAGGTAGCATTGTATCTGCTCTGATAATGAAGGTATCGCATCTAATTTCATATCGGCATGAACCTCATGATTAAACTGTGTAGCTCAAATAGCTTTGGTGCTGAGACCTTTTTAATAAGGAAAATCAAACGGCTGTGTTTAGTAATTTATCTTTCAAATCATGGTGTAAATATATTGTCTTTGATCAAACTCACCATTTTACAGGGGAGAGGTGATGGAGCAGCTCATCCAGTCCTCGGACCTGTTTGTCATGCAGGTGGAGATGGATGTATACACGGCTTTGAAAAAGGTACATGAAAATATATATATTCTATTTGTCTGTAGCATCAGACCTGTTTCTAAGAGCTCTCTTTGTAATTTCTCTCTCTCTGCAGTGGATGTTTCTGCAGCTCAATCCTTCATGGGACGGCCCGATCAAACAGCTTCTGGCTGACGCTGACGCCTGGCTTTGCAAACGCAGGACAGGTACGGTAAAGGCCTTGTGTTATGAAAGAGGGATCTTCATATGTAATTATTTTTCATTAGTAGCCACACGCAGACGTTTGACTCTGTTTCCGATTGGCTTTGTTCTACAGACCTGTGTGAGAAAGAGCCCTTCTTGAACACGGAGGAGGGCGAACATTTCCGTTCGGTGTTCGGATACGTTCGTCTCCAGTATATCATCAACGATCTCGCATCTGCACGCATCCTGGAGAGAGACAATATTCTGCCCCCTGGTAAGAAGTCTGACTGGAGTTCATCATGAATGTCTTTCTTCTTTGCTCTGGAAAAATAGATCTTTAATTAAAAAAATAAGCCCAATTATGTACATCAGTGCTCTATTTCCACTTTTGTTGTTAATTGCAGTTGCTTAAGTTGTTGTTAGTGGTTTGAAGAATCAGGCCTACATTTTAACAAAATTGTTGAGACAAATTGTAAAGCAGAGTTCCCATCGTTCATCCTCACATTTACATCTCTAGGAATTGTGTTTATGCGCTGTTAATATTTTCTATTAAAACTTATTCCAGATTGGTTAACGTCGGTGTACAAGAACCAGTGGTTCGCAATGCTCCGGACAGAATTTGACAACGATAATGGGTGAGAACCTGAGACTGAACAATTGTAACATCAGCGGACTGTTTAATTTCACCTGTATTTCACCTGCTGTATCTTTATACAAGTGCAAAAACTGTACACATAGAATATGATTTGAATGTCTGTCATTAGTCCCCAGGAAGCTAACAAAGATGAGTTTGAGCTGAGCAGTATGAGGTGCGGAAGAAAACTGACTAAAGATGGAGACGTAAGTCAGACAGTCTCACTTCTACAGCAACTTGTGCTGCTGTACAATGTATTGTTTTTAAATAATGTGTTTTCCTCTCCTCAGTACTGCTGGCGGTGGACAGGCTTTAACTTTGGCTTCGACCTGCTGGTGACCTACACAAACCGTTTCATTGTCTTCAAAAGAAACACTCTGAGTCAGCCATGTGGGGGCGCTGTGAGTCTGCAACCTCGACGGCATCTGGCATTCAGGTGTGTAGCGCAGCCAACCTTTGAATGTTTATCTAAATGATACCTACAGCTGTGTCTGTATCCTAGAGTTAATAGGAAAACTAAGATAACAATTGCATCATTCCTTTTTAATGTTATGTATGTTTATGTATATGTATCTGCAGCTTTAATCTTGGAAAGTCTCTAACCTTCCTTTGACGATCTTTGTGTGTTCAGGTTACGTCTTGCCTCATTTGACAGCCGAGGAAAGTTGGTCTGCAGTCGCTCAACGGGTTACCAGCTTCTCACCCTTGAGAAAGACCAGGTCAGTTGTCTTGTCATTCATTACCTGATATAAGATGCTGCTTTTCCACTTGCTTAATATTCTTCCCTTCCCTTCAATGACTCAGGAGTATGTGGTGATGAACCTGGACAGCCGGTTGTTGACATTCCCCCTCTACGTGTGCTGTAACTTCCTGTATACATCACCTCACTCGGACCACCGTCCAGATTCTCCAGAGCAAGAGAGCGCTGCTCGCTGCGTGTCTTGATGCCTGTTCAGCAGCCATTAACTGCTACCGTTACTCTTGTAATGCTGAGACACCGACACGAGCTTGTGCGTACGATCCATCGCCACAGTTAGCATCATTCTGACATTGGACATACCATCTGCATGCTATGTAACACAGTGAGATGTTTAAACATGATGTTTAAAGTGCAACAGAGACGGTGGCCGGGAGGGATTAGGACACTTTTGTCTTCAGAGCAGCTTCAAACTTTGGACCTCTGCAATGAACTCTCTGCACTGGGATGTTGGACAAGTTCTCAAGATGAGAAAAAAACAACCAACTCACTTATATTAATATATTATGTTCATGGGAACATCATCGGATAACTGCTCTGTCGGGTGAAACTGGACCTTTAGTGACTTGTATGGGAAGATTCAAGTCTTTTGCTCATTCTGAGCATATGTACATTGACTGTGAGGTGTAGTCAGAGGTGTGCACAGTCAAATGGAGGACAGCTGACGACGAAATTCAACAGACATCCACTTTGGTATTGTGAAAAACTGAAAGATGCAGTAAAGGCAGGAGTTTCAGCTAGTGTCCATCAGTCTTTAAAACCCTTGGAAGTCCACCTCACGCAGTCTTAAGTTGGATATGTATGTGTGCTGTTTTACACGAGCTTCTGTAAATGCTTTAGGATTTGAAAGTCCACCACCTCTTTTGTAAATTGGAGATAACAGCGTCCCCACTTCCTTGTACCCAGTATGAAGTACTTTGTAAATAACATTTACTGCAATATTCAAGTTGTAAAACAACATTGCACTCAAGTGCTTAAAGTAATGTCACAAAGCCCAGGTAACCATGCTGATGTTACATACCTCTATGTAAACCTACAGCGTGAAATCAAAAATCCAGGTTACGTTTTTTTTTCCCATGAGACGTAATCCTTCAGGAGTGTGTTGGCCTCATTTAAACTGTTTACGCTTGGCTGTCCGTTCATGGACACCAGCTTTCTGATATTCACTGCAGAATGTTGACAGACTTCAGATTTTGAGAATTTCTGTGTTGTTCACCAGCTATGCTGTCAAATGTCCACTTACTGCTGTTACCAGAGTCCACTGCCTTTTGCAGTTCGGTTTGACACATCGTCACATGAGATACCTTTGCAGTTTTGTTGTTTTACACTTTCATATTAATGATAAGGTCACTATTTGTTTGGCAATTTTGGAAATCTGTAACCTCATGCTGTTTTTCAAACCTGTAAAGTAGACATGTACTGATGAAGAACTAGTCAGTAAGACTCACCTGTATATCTGTAACTGTTACGAAGTTTTTGTTTGGTTTTTATTTATTATTTTTACTTCATTTGTATGGATTTATTTTTTGCAAAAGAAAATATAATTTTAAACAGCCAATAAAACTGCCCATTCAGGTAGGCTGTGGTGCTATCACGTTATCCTGTCTCTTTTTCCAACATGCGTCTTTTCTACAGCTGCAGTTATTAATGTATTTGTTTCTGTAGATAACAAAAGTTATGTCTACATTAGTTATATAGCAAGTTCATGTCGAATAAAGTCAAAAAAGTCATAGTATAGCGTGTCGAATAAAGTCACAGTATAGCGTGTCGAATAAAGT